CCCCCCCCCCCCCTCCCCCACACAAACCGATCCCCTCGGCACGACCTCACTCTGCTGTCGACCAACTCCCGGCCAAGCCACCCCCAAGCCCCCTCACCCCTCACCCACCCCCGTGCATCAACACCAACACCCCACTCCACCTCTGCACGACCCTCGGTCGCCGACCATGGCAAAGAGGTGTGACGTTGAGAAGAAAGCTGGTGGCGAGGCGGGCGGACGCAAGACAGCGAAGAGCATGCTTATCAGCTTGGGTGAGAGCGAGAGCTTGAGCAGGAGCGCGAGCGGAGAAGGCGGGGAGGAGGAGGAGGAGGAGGGCAACTCGGGGTATTCCTCGGGGACGACAAGCTTGGACGAGGAGAGTATGGCATCAAGTGAGCCATCGATGTCAGCTTCGCTCAGTCAAACTATGGCTAGCAGGGGCTCACCATCGTCGCAGAACTCAGGCGCAAGCCGGATCTTCAAGGCGTCATCATCATCGTCGTCAACGTCCAAGACAAGAACGTCTCGCGCTGGCGAGCCTCCACTGCACATGCAAACGCACGAGCATATACTGAGGATGGCTCTGGGCGCAGCGGCAAAAGCGGGTGGTCCACCGCTGTCACATGGTCAGGGCCGGAAGCGGAAGCGGACGAGGAGGAAGCGCCATGCTCACCGCCGCGCTGCCCGCTGTGCTGCAAAGTCGGCAGCGGAGATGTCGGGTAGTGGCGGTGCTCGTGTGCAGCGGCAGGACTACCACGCCCAGCTACTGCGGCGGCAGTCGACTACCGCCGTAGGCGTGGCAATCAACCCGTGGCATCCGCCGCAGGATGAGGAGGCGACTGCTGCTGCCGGACTGACCGGTTGCGACAGTGACGACGACCAACACGCCCCGCTACCGGCAAAAGTGGTGTCGACTGCGGCTTCGTTGGGCATTGCGATGCCTGAGGGCGCGTCTGCACTTGTCCACCCGTCTGTCAAGCGTGAGCGATGGCGAGCCATGCGCGCCGCCAGTGACCTTGTCGAGGACCTCGCCATCGCTGCGGCAGCCGAGGGAAGCTCGCGTGATCCGCGGAGCAAAGCCTTTGCTCCGCACATGAGTGCGCGCCGCACGGCTGTCAGGGCAGAGATCCGCGAAGCTGTCAACGGGTCGCGGGCCGCTCTTGCGCTTCGCGAGCGCGATGTTCGCCAGTCTGGAACCATCCCAGCCGTCGCCGACGCGCTGGCCTCGCTCGACTCGATTGTATTGCCATACTTTCTCCGCCAGCCATCGGTGGCGTGCTTTGACGCCCCAGTTGACCCTTCCAAGCCGGCGACCGACAATCTTGCCCGTAAGGCCGAAGATCGCCTGGCGGATGCATACTCCACCAGCCTCGGATGGGACAAGCGCCTGGCATCTGGCAACGCGCTGCCGTCTCAGGCTCTTGACGCTCTCGAGGCGCTGTATGTGGCCGACGATGGGGAAGTATTCGGCGCGGAAGCGGAGGCCTGTCCACCGGCACAGGAACCTGCAGCGGCCTCCCCAGCTGACATCGACCCGCCTCCGCTCCCGCCGTCGCCAGGCCTTGGCTCGTTTGCGCACGTCAACGCCATCAAGCTCAACTTTTCTCAAACCTCATCGTACCGGATTGCGTTCAACACGCTCAACCCACGACTCTTTGACGTTTTTGCAGTCCTGCTTGGGACGGGAGTTGCGGTACTGCAGTGCTGTGCCAACGGGAGCATGCGTCTGCTGCAGCTGTACGATGAGTCGTCGGCACGTACGCTGTACTCTCTCGCGTGGCTGCACGAGCCGGCGACCGGGCATGCACTCCTTGCCGTCGGTGCCGCCGATGGAGTCATCCGCGTCATGGACACGACGACACAAAAGGTAGTGCATACGCTGCGCGGCCACGGCGGAGCAGTCCACGAGCTCAGGGTCCATCCGCTCGACGACTGCCTCTTGTTCTCGGCGTCAGAGGACCACTCGGCACGGCTGTGGAACGTACAGACCGAGCGGACGGTGGCGATCTTTGGAGGCGACGGCGGGCACGTGTCCGAGATGCTTACCCTCGACATCCATCCGGACGGCACCGAAATGGCTACCGGCTCGATGGACCGGTCGGTGCGGGTGTGGCAGCTCAACACGGTGCGACTGCTGCGGGCGATGGAGGCGTCCTACAAGGCCGAGGACCCGAGCCGACCCTGGAAGGCTGTCTTTGTCTCGCATCCAGCCTTCTGGTCCTTCCGCATTCACACCAACTACGTCGACTCGCTGCGGTACGTCGGCGACACGCTCTGCACCAAGTCGGTCGAGTCGACCATTGTCCGGTGGACACCGCTGGCGCTGTCGGACCCAAAGACCGGTGACATGTTCTACGAGGTCTTCAACGACACCGCCCTGGTCTCACACGGCGGCTTTGTCGACGTCCTCGCCGCCATGCGGTACACGGGCGGAGACTTGTGGTACACGCCGATGGATCTCTCGGCATCGGCCCGATTCCTCGCCGTCGGTACCTCGCAATCGCAGGTCTTTGTCTTTGACGTCGACGCCGAGCCGGACTTTTCCTCGGGCACCGCCTCGGTAACTCCGCTGTACACGCTCAACTGCAACGCACCCGGCCTCGACACCGAGGCCTCTGGATTTGGCACCATCCGCGCCGTCTCATTCTCGGCCCATCCACCATCCGAGGGCCCTCTCCTTGTCGCCGTCGCTGATGATGGTGTCATTCATCTGTTCAACTCGGCGGCGGTAGAGCCCAAGCCGCCATCTGCTGCAACCTCGGCTCGCTGATCGGGCGAGCGTTCTGCTCATACTCTTGCAACATCCCCCCCTACCCCCTCATTGTCGCTGATGGAATAAAACCACATCGGGCGAGTGCAGAGCATCATGTGTGTGTGCGAGGGAAGGGGGGGGGGGGGGAGGGGAGAGGGGCATTGTCGATTCACCATTCAACCGTCGACAAGCAAACAGCGCCCAACAGTCGCGGCGGGTTGCTACTGATCGGCACTCGTCGTTCGCGCGCACCATGCCGGGACCCAAGGCATGGTTCCGTTCCATGCGAGCACGAGAGGCCAACTCTGTGTACGCAAACAACCTCCCACCCTCACTACCTCCCCTCACTATATCTCCTACCCACCCGTTCTCCCTTCATTCCCCTCTATCACGCCTCCATACAGCCCCCCCCCCCCTCCCCCTCCCTCCCGCACACCCTTCTGTACGACCACGTTGATCCTTGCCGCACCGCTCAGCTTCACCTCGGCTGTTCCTTCCTCCTCCCGCCAGCCACTCACCCACCCCGCAACTCCTCCCCCAACGCCACCCCGTATGACCACTGGCCACGAATTGCCCTCTGTCTCCCTCCGCTCAACCATACTCGGTCTGCCCTCCCTCTCCTCCCTCTCTCTCACCGCACGGCCGCAACTGCCGCCACTGCTCACGGCCCACGGCGCCACCTGGTATGGGCTGGGTGGCATTCGGTCATCTGGTTGCATCCATGCTTCCCCTCTCGCCTCATGCCCCACTTGACCTCGACACGTGGCCATGGCTACGTCTACCGGTTCCCTCGTGTTTCACAGGCAAATCTTGCCACCGATTGATACAGCGGCGGTGAACACCGAAGCAAGCACGGGATTCAGCATCCGCAATCTAGTGTCGTCACAATGGTGGTTGGACTCGCTGAGAGAACCAGATACCAGCGTACGGTCGATTCTCTCGGTCCTCATCTTCTTCATCACGGTGTGGAACTCGGCGACGATCCCCATGCGGATGGTCTTTCCGCGCTTCGGTGAGTCGTACTGGTGGTATGTCGTCGACTACTGCTTGGATGCTGTGCTTATCTTTGACATTGCCACGCGGTTTCTCATGGGCTACGAAGTGCTGGGGGTCATTGTCACCGACCGCCCGCTCAACGCCTTCCACTACCTCACCACCAACTTTGCCTTTGACGTACTCTGCGTCCTGCCAGCCTTTTCGCGCTCAGGTGCCATCCACGCCATCCTCCGCATCAACCGCATCGGCTTCCTCTATCGCGTCCCGTCGTTTTTCACCGCTGGGAGCGGGCGACGTCAAGGCCGACCTTCTACCGAGTCGTCAAGCTCATTCTCGGCATTCTCGGCATGGCGCACTGGACTGCGTGCTGCTTCTTCTACCTTGTCTACCGCATCAACGACAGCAACGGCGGCCAATGGCCCGACACCGGCGATTCTGGCTGGGCTCAGGGCCTAGAGCTCTACCTCGACCAGCCGACCTTCCGACCGTACATGCGCGCGCTGTTCTGGTCGACCACGCTGCTGACTGGCATGGGCCCCGATCACAACTACCCACAGTCCGACATTGAGCTCGTCTTTATGTTCATTGTTCTGTTTATGGGCATTGTGGTCTTTGCCGCCATTATTGGTAACGTCGGCTCGCTCATCGCCAACTCGTCGGCGACCAAGGCCGACCACAAGAAGAAGATGGACATTGTCAACCTGTGGATGCGCCACAAGGGCATTGCGCCCGGCCTCCAAGCGCGAATCCGCTCGTACTACGAGTACCTGTGGCAGCGACAGGCTGGCCTCAACGACAACATCATTCTCATGGACTTTCCCGAGCATTTGCGAGCCCTCGTCTCGGACGACCTCAACAAGAACATTCTCCGCGAAGTGCCCATGTTCAAGGCCCTCAACAACGCCGAGCCGTTCATCCAGGCCCTCATGTCTGCTCTCCGCCCCGAAATCTACACTCCCGGCGACTACATTGTCCGAGAGAACGAAATGGGCCAGTCCATGTTCTTCATCACCCGCGGCATCGTCGACGTCATCACCATCGATCTTGGTCGTGTGGCCCAGCTCGGCGAGGGCCAGTACTTTGGCGAAAAGGCGCTGCTGTTCAAGGCAAAGCGGAACGCGTCTATCGTCGCGCGCACCTACGTCGACGTCTTTGTCCTCGAGAAGGACGACGTGGACTCGGCGCTCACAGACTTTCCGCTCTACGCCGACGAGCTCTACACCAAGGCTGCCGAGGAGTTGCTCAAGCGGCAGAACAAGGCCAATGACAACGAAGACTCTGAGGAGGACATTGAGCAATTGGCCGACAAGCTCGAGTACGTTGGCGGGAAAACGCTCGGCGTCTCGGGAACAGAGCTCCACCGCGGCGTCTCAGGCACTGAGCTCCAGCCGTTCAATTCGTCAGAGGTGCTTCACGCTCTTGCGCGCCAGTCTTCCTATGACGACGATCCGAACCGCTCGTTCTCGCTACATGAGGTTACGTCGCAGCAGGCCATCGGCCCGCCCTCGCCCAAAATGCCCACCGCTATGCTCAACGGCTCGTTTGACCGCAGTGCTGCCGCGTATTCGTCGCGTGAAGCTGTCCTCTCGCTCGCGCGCGCCCGCTCCGGCTCCCGCACTCGCTCGATCACCAACCAGCTTCCGATTGTGGACATCATCCGTTCGGCCTCTGGTGACCTCCTCGCTCACGCCGCCGAGCAGCAGCAGACGCTGTTCAACCGCTCGCAGGGCTCGACTAGCTCGGTCCCGCGCTCACCATCACGCTTTGCCCCGCCAGCACAGCCGAACCTGCCGCCGGTCGTCTCTAGCAGAGGCCTTATTGCCGCAACCTCCACCTCGGGCCCGATTCTTCCTGGACAGGTACCTTCTGACACAGCCTCGGAGCAGAGCGACGTCATTCACGAGTTTGGAACTGATCTTGGCCATTCTGGCTCGGAGTGCGGTGCGCCACGCATCTCGGTTCAGACCGCATCCATGCGCGGTGTCGGTCAGAGTCTGACCACAATTCCTAAGATCAATGCTGCTGCAGGTGCAGGCTCTAATGACGAGACTGCACACCGCACAGTGGCCGGTCGCCATGGCAGTTCGCCGCTCTCGGGGTCGGCCTCGCGTTCGCGGTCACCATGCCGCCACCATGGATACAGGTCCAGTCGCAAGCGCAAGCGCAAGCGCAAGGACAAGCGCAGGCGCCGCCGCAAGGACGGGTCATCAGCAGCGCACTCCCGCTCGTGCAGCTCGCGCCACACTTCACGCCACAGCTCGCGCCATGGCTCGCATCGCGTCTCGCACCAGGCGCTGTCCCCTGACGGCGAGGGGGATGAGCCGAGCTCTGCCACCACGCCCACCGGCGGAACGGTGTCACGCAAGCACGGAACCAAGGCCAAGGCCAAGGCTCGAAGGGCCCGCAAGGCCCGCAAAGCTGCAAAGCGGGCCCGCAAGACTGCCAAGGTTGATGCGGCAGGGGGAGGAGCCGGCGACGGCAAGACGGAGTTGGACAGCGGTGGCCACGTCAAGGCTGACTTTGCGCGCTCGGCCCAGCTAGCCAGCTCAGCGCTGGAGCTTCCTGGTTCCGAGTCGGACCTCAACAACACTGTTGTGTACAAGGGGCGGGACTCGGCCGAGAATGGCAACTCGCGCGGCCTGAACGTCCGTGTTTCGTCCGGTACAACTACGCTCAATTCGTCGGTTCAGGTCTCGGACTCGGTCTCGAGCTCCTTGGCTGGAGCTGCAGATGTTGGCTCGGGCTCGCGGCGGCACTCTACGTACGCGACGCCACCCAAGCCGTTGGATGACACGCTTCAAGTGCTCAAGTCCACAACCTCGCAGCCACTCGAGTCAACAAGGGAGATTATGCACCGCCACCAGCTTCAGCGAAAGGCGACCGAGTCGACCGACTTTGTTGTCTCGTCGTCTGACTCGTCATCTCTTGTCTCGGCCTCATCGACAAGCTCGTTGTCGTCGTCGCTCTCTGGCGATGGAACGGAGACGTCGACCGGCACGGTTGTGGCGTCACAGACGCGACTGCATCCATATGCGATGGGAACCATTGCCAACGGCGAGGGCTCGGGCGCGCTGACCTCGATGCCGATGCTGCCTTTGTCGCAATTGTCGCCCAGCCCGGACGATGGCCTCGTTCAGTCGATCTCGCAGCCACACCACGGCGAGAAGTCTGACGACGGTGGGCAGTCCAAAGCCCCGAGAGAGAACGGCTCCAAGGACGCGTTTCGGACTCGGCTCTCGGTCACATCGAACCACACTGACATCCAGCGTGGCTCGCTCACTGCCGATGCGTCGTCGTACTCATACTCGGATCGAAGCTACTCGTACTACACCTCGGATGTGTCGTCATCGTCGTACCTCACCGACTCGTCGCCAGCAGACGCGACAACAATGGCACGCCGCAGTGGCCACCGCAAGGCGTCGGCGCCGGCCATGCTCTCTCCGCGCGATCTTGGCGATCGGCGGCAATCGGTGTCGGGAGCAGTCATTGCCAAGGCGTTAGGCCAGGCAGCCGCGATGGCGTCGATCGGGCGGGCGGGTGGGACGTCATTCTTGTTCGGAAGCCACACCGCGCCGCGAGTCTTTTCTGCGCTCAATGAGCTCATCGACCTGCGCAAGGACTTTTCGACGCTCGCTCCGCACCAGCTCGATCGCATGCAGGCCGTACTCATCCATATTCTCTCGGACGTTTCGAACGTCCGACTGGAGCAGGCTGGGCGGCTCAAGTCGCCCTCGCCGGGGCTCGCCCGGCGGTCGTCGACGTCGAAATCGCGGTTGCAAGCCGTCCGTGAGCAGGAGATCGCAACTGGCATTCAAGCCGGTCTTTCTCGGCCGCGGTCGCAGTCGGTCTCGCTTGCGTCGATAACCAAGTCAGGCTCCAGCGAAGCGCGCGGTGTGCCAAGCGCTCCGCCGGTTCCGATGGACATCGCCTCGCGCATTCGCCACGTCCGCCGTGGCTCGGGCGGTGATGACTCGCTCGGACGCAAGCACTCGGGCGGAGGCGCCAACATGAATCTCCTCGTCTCGTCATCGAACCTCGAGTCCGTGCTCGCCAAGCGGCGGAAGAGGCGGCCGTCGCTGTCAATGGCGTCGCCGCGCGGCAAGCTGTCGGCCATGCCGGGTACACGCGGTTTCGGAAGGTAAATAGCCTCGTGCCGACTGGCTGATGTGCCTGGGCGCAGCCTTTCTGCGGTTGTTACTTGCTGGGTTCAGAGTCGAGCAGCGCGGCGACCACTTGCCACGCACCGGGCACGGCGTCGACCAGCAGCTCGCGGAGGAGCTCGGTGGCGTCTACGAGAGCGGCGGGTACATCTGCAGCTGGAGTGTCTGACGGCGGGCCGTAGCCGGCGACGAGTGCAGCGAGGACGTCGAGCCAAAGCGTGTGGGCATGGGCAGCGACAAAGCGCGAGTGGACGGCGCCGAGGTTGTCAGCGAGGAAAGCGAGGGTCTTGTGGGCGCCGGTCTCTGTAGCAAGCGCTGAGGTGAGGATGCAGGCGCAGCCCTCGACGGGCATGGTGGAGTGGAGGACAAGATCAAGGGCACGGCTGATGAGAAGTGGCGAGACAGCAGTGCCTAGCGCGCCGAGCAGGCGGCGACGGGTGCTTGGGGCCTCGCGGTAGACCTCAAGCACTGTCTCGAACGCATCCTTGCCTGTCGCCTGAACTGCGGCCTGCGCGAGCGGGAGTGCGAGGTGTGAGCGAGCGAGCTCGCGATGGACGACAGCCGAGTTGAACTTGGTCACGGCGCGGGTCTGAATCTCCGGATCAACGAGGACGACGGCTAGGAGGCGGATGACGTCGGTGCGGAGAGAGGTCATAGCGAGCGCCTCGGAGGCCACACGGTCCCAGCCGGTGAGCCGGAGCGCAGATCGAAAGACCTTGCGGCCAGCAGTGGTGAGGAGCGCCAGGGCGGCCGAACCGGCGGGCGACGCTGGGATGCGGCAGGTGCGGACTGCAATAAAGATGGCGTCAAACGAGGCAACGAGCTCAAGCCAGACTTCGACCGCGTCTTCGTCATCAGTGCCGACGGCCTGGATGAGGTCGAGGTAGTTGGTGAGCGGGAGTGCGCGCTGAAGGACGGCTGCACCGACGTTATACACCAGGGCCGCGCGCGACGGTGCACCGAGCGCGTGCGAGACTGCGGCGTCACGGAGAGAGCGGAGAACAGGTCCCGAGTACACGACAGAGTAGTGACCGGAGCGGAGCCAGTTGACGGCGATCCAGGCCCCGGTCTGAATGTGAACGGTGACTTGGCCATGAGCAAAGACCTTGACCCGGACTCGTGACGCACCGGGCTGCATGAGGAAGAGTGGGATCCAGTACTGGACGGCACCGGCCTGCGAGACCTCCAGCTGGAGGAAGAGCGCGTTTGCGTCGTCATTGTCGTCGTACTCAGAGTCTACTGCCGAGGCATCCGAGCCTGATCCCGAGTCTATGCCATCGCTGTCACTACGTGACGTGACATGAACCGACGGGACGCCCGCAGCCTCGAACCACGGTGCGAGAACAACGTCAAGCGGCTTGGCGGCATGGCGTTGAAGGAGGGCCAGGAGTGTGGTGTCCGAGTAGGACGCGTTGAGAGTAGCCCAGGATCGGTAGAACGCAGTCCGCGGTCCGGAGCCAATCCATGCAAAGACCATGGCGGCGATGCCGGCCATGTGTCCAGACTGCCAGGGAAGAATCGCTTGCGTGATCGCACGCGACATGGTGCTCCGGAGCGGGAGCCGCGTGGCGAGCGGATGATGGAGCGTGGCAAAGCGAGCGGTGGTGGTGAGAGCGGCAACGTTCCACGAGGGAAAGAGGAGTGCGAGGACCTTGTCAGCGAGCCACTTGCGGAGGCCAGCACCAAGCCAGGGCGCGCAGGCGTCGGGCAGGGGCGAGGCGGCGACGCAGAGGATCGAGTCGATGACGGTGGCGACAATGTAGGACGCGACATGACGGAGCTGCGACGGTGGATGGAGGGCTGGGTCAAAGACGATGTTGGCGGCGGTTGTAAAGGCGAGCGCCAAGAGCGGGGCCGCGTTGGGGAGAGCAACACCGTCGGGTACAATGACAATGTCGTACTTGTCCATCGGAAGCGGTGCGTCGAGCACGTCTTCGATGGCGGAAAGCGCGGCCGAGAGCGTGTCGAGCGCAAACGAGGTCATGGCCAGAGTAGCGGCGGCGGCAGCAGCTGACGGGGCGCCGTCGTGGCCGACACCGGTGGCGGCGTCCGGAGCATAGGCGACATGAATGCCGAGCGCGTAGCCGGCGTCGGAAAAGGCGATACGTGAGTCGAATGAGCCCGCCGCAAAGCCGTAGCTCGTCTCGGGGCCGGTCCGCGAGAGGCGGAAGACGTGGCGGACGCGATCAGCGACAACCGATCCCGAGCCGGAACTGGCATCAAGCTCTTGCGAGGCCGCGCACGGCGACGAGGCGAGGGCGCGCTGCGCGGCTGGTACAACGAGCGAGAGAAGGGTCTTACAGCGAGCGCCGCGGATGCCGACGACTGGCCAGACGGCGCCGCCATCCCCTGGGGCGAGGAGCGCGAGCGAGAGAGTACGGGCATTGGCCGAGCCTGGCGCGACAAGGCCCGGGCGGACAATGCCCGAGCGAGCCATGGCACCGGAGAAGGCGATGCGGAGGAGGAGCGGCCCGGGCCGCAGCGGCGGCTCAAAATGAAGGACAAAGAAGACCATACCGGCAGCAGCATCGGCGTCAAACTCGAGGCCGTCGACCTGCGGCGGATGCGGATGCCGCGGGAGCGAAGTGACTCTTTGGATGGCCGACGGCACTAGCCCGCTGCCTGAGCTGGCAGAGTCGACCGAGACGTCGCCGAGCTTAATGTGCTCTGCCGCACGGAGCACGACCGCGTCGATCAGCGAGCGCGAGGCGTACGACGACGACGCGAGCGAGCCTGCATGACGCGCAGCAGGAAAGCTCGAGGACGGCACATGGGTTGCGGACGAAGAAGCCGGAGAATTGGCAGCAGCGGCATCAGTGGTCGGCGTCGGCATGGGCTTGGGCATGGGCTTGACCTTGGGATGAGCGATGGCATCAGCCTCGATCTGGATGTGTCCGGAGTAGCGAGTGGGTAGCCGCGAGCTGAGATCCAACCATACAGCATACTTTGACGGTGCGAGAGCCCATGCACTTGCTGTTGTGGCCAAGCCAACCACAGCCTCGGTGGCCATGACCTTGCCCATCCCCTCTCCCGCCTTTCCTCCCGCCAACGGATGGCTGCTGCTTGACGAGGTGCTTGCTGGCGATGACTTGCTCTGTTTCGCAAACAGCAGCTGCCGCGCAACCCCGTCGAGGTCGTTCATGGTGGAGATAATTTGGTGTGTTGCGTGTGGTGGTGGGTGGGTGGGTGGGGTGGGGGGGGGGGGGGGTAATGGCGGTGGGTGAGGTGAGTTGCCGTGAGTGGCCTCCTCTGTCATTGTCATTGTCATGGTCATAGTCATGGCTGTCGACGGTGGTCGATCGTTTGAGTCATCGTTGGCGATGGCGATCGATGGTGAGCGCAATGGTGATTGATAGGTACAAGGACTGCTACCAAGTTTATGGCTATATCTTCCGCATTGTGCTGTAGCATGAACGGTGTCGGTGGAATCGTTGCAGTCGTTGGAGTCGTCGCCTCCGCCCCCCCCCTCCCCCCTCCCTTCCCCCCCGCCACAACATTTTTTTTCAATCCACCCCCCACCCCCCCATCCCGCAACTTCCTCCACGTCACGCGTCAGCGTCAGCGGCAACAGCGCACCGCGCGCGGACGGCGAGAGCGGCTAGAGTCACACTTTACGCAGAACAAGAGAACAGGATGGCGGCGAGCAAGGAAGGGTTTCTGGAGGCAAAGCATGAGGGAGTGGCGCTGCTTGCGCGGGAGCGTGCGGCAGCGTCTTTCAATGTCCGGGCCATGACGCACCTGTTGGACGGCGGAGAGGAGGCGACAGCGGAGAAGGAGCGCGTGGCAGCGATGGTGGAGGAGCATGCGGTGCTGCAGGCATCTGATCGATACTTTGTGGGTCGGCAGGAGTCGCTGGCGCGGGCAATGCAAAAGTTCAAAGAAATCGTGCGGCTGACGCTGGCGGCCGGCCTCGATCGTGAGGATGGGGTGCGGATGTACTACTACGTCAACGAGCCGATGCCAACCTCGCTCCACCATGGCATGTTTATTCCGACCATCCAGTCGCAGGGGACTGACGAGCAGCGGGCAGAGTGGCTCCCGCTCGCCGCCATGTTCTCCATCATCGGTGCGTATGCCCAGACTGAGCTCGGGCACGGGTCAAACGTGCGTGGTCTCGAGACGACTGCCACCTTTGACGTTGAGACCGACGAGTTTGTGCTCAACTCGCCGACGCTGACATCGATGAAGTGGTGGCCCGGTGGGCTCGGCGTGGCGGCGACCCACTGCGTCACGCACGCCCGGCTTATGATCGATGGCACCGACTACGGCGTGCACACGTTCATTGTCCAAGTCCGTGACCTCGAGGACCACACGCCGCTGCCGGGCATTGTCATCGGTGACATCGGGCCCAAGTTTGGATGGAACACCGCCGACAACGGGTACCTCGCCTTTGACTCGGTCCGCATTCCGCGAAACCAGCTCCTCGCCCGGTACGCAACGGTGGCGCGCGATGGGACTTACACCAAGCCGCCGCACGAGAAGATTGGGTACGGGACCATGATCCGGATCCGGTCCATGATTGTTGCTGGAGCGTCGGACGCGCTCGCGCGTGCCTGCACTATCGCCATCCGCTACTCTGCGGTGCGGCGGCAGGGAACCACCCGCGGGCGTGATGGCGGCGAGATGGTGGTCCTTGACTACACCATGCAGCAGCACCGGCTGCTCATCCTGCTCGCCACCGCGTACGCCTTTCACTTTACCGGCGAGTACATGATGGAGCTTTACCGCCGGCTGCAGGCTGACCTCGAGGACAACGACCTCTCGGTCCTTCCCGAGGTCCACGCCACGTCGGCTGGGCTCAAGTCGATGACGACGACGGTCACCGCCGACGGCATCGAGGAGGCACGGCGCGCATGCGGCGGGCACGGCTTCTCGCAGTTCTCGGGCCTCCCGTACCTCTACACCTGGTACGTGCCGGCAGTGACGTACGAGGGCGACAACGTGGTCCTCGCTCTGCAGACCGCACGCTACCTCATCAAGTCGTGCCGGCAGGCTGCCGACGGCAAGCCGCTCTCTGCCGGAGTGGCCTACCTCTCGGCGCGGCCCGGGGCTACGTGCGCGGCGGCAAATCCGGCCGACATGGGCCGGCTGGATGTGCTCGCTGCCACGCTCGCCGCGCGGGCCGGCGAGGCCGTCCGTGCCGTCACTGGCCGGCTCGACGCGCTCCTCGCGTCGGGCGTCGACTACGACGAGGCGTGGAACCACCTTATGGTCGAGCTCTGTGCCGCCTCGCGCGCGCACTGTGAGTACTCGGTTGTCCGCAACTTTGCCGCCGCCATCGCCACCGTCGAATGCCCCGATCTGGCCGGCATCCTCACTGCACTCTGCCGCCTCTACGCTGCATCGCGCATCGAGGCTGACCTCGGCTCATTCCTCGCCCAGGGGTACCTCTCCAAGGGCCAGAGCCAGTGGGTCAAGGACATTGTCCACGCTACCCTTGCAGTCATCCGCCCCGATGCCGTCGCCCTTGTCGACGCCTTTAACTTTCCCGACTTTCTCCTCAACTCGGCGCTTGGCCGCAAGGACGGCGATGTTTACGTCGGCCTCGTCGAGGCCGCTCGCTCCGCCCCGGTCAACGTCCACCCGGAGGCAATGGCTTTGAGGAACATCTGCGGCCGATTATTGACAAGTCGCTTTTCTCCAACCTCCACATCCCGTCGCGACTGTAGCTGCTGGTTGTGCAGGACCGAGTCAACGGTGCCGTTGACTGGCGTCCGCGTGCCGCCGGCCTCGCCGTCTACTGGAGTTGGCACCAACTTCGTGCGTTTGCGTTGACTCGCCGTTGACGATGCATCAACTTCGTTTGTGACGCCAAACGGTACGTTTGCGTTGACCATGTCTCCTCATGCGCCTATGTTCTCAGTCAGCGCCTGTCAGAGCCAAAGCCCTGGTGGGCGGGTCGTGGGTTGTCCAGCCTTTCGCCTCCCCAACCCCATCGTTTACCCATGTCACCCATTCTCGCCCATTGTCGCGCATTGACACCCATCATCACAGCTCTATCATCGCAAAGCAGACGTATCACCACAACCACAGCAATCGTTCACACCCTTTACCATCGCAACACCATCTTTGCCTCACCTCAACCCACTCATCATTTGCCTGAGAGCATCCCAGCCCAGCCCAGCCCAGCCCAACCCAGCCCAGCCCAGCCCAGCCCAGCACAACCCAACCCAACCCAGCCCAACCCAGATAAAGACCCCCATCACCACCATCAACCATCACCATCACTACTTCCACCAATGCCAAACATCTCCCCATCCCCCCTCCCATCCCCTCCCCCTTCCCTTTCACCACTCCGCCAGTTTCTCCGCTGGCAACCAAGTCCCGCACGCCACGTTGGTGAGCCAGCCAGCCCAGGCACTGTCACCACTACCAACACCACATCAGCGTGACAGAGACAGAGACCGACTCAGCTACACTTCACCCCCCCCCCCCCCCTACCCCCACACACACACACATACACTCACTCATGTCGATTCGGAAGGTCTTTGTCGGTGGCAACCACAAGTGCAACGGCAGCGTGACGGCGACCTCGTCGCGTGCACGTCTGCTTGCCGAGGCTGCTCCTGATCTGCCGTCGTCGGATGATGTGGACATTGTCATTGCTCCGCCTGCGCCGTACATTCTGACGACAAAGGCTGTGCTCGATGAGCATGGCTCGTCTGCTGCGGTGGCTCTCCAGGACGTTGCCATTGCTCGTGAAGGCGGCGCTCACACCGGAACCGTGGCGGCTGATATGGCCGCCGATCTCGGTGCTGCTTGGGTCATTGTCGGCCACTCGGAGCGGAGACATGTCTACGGCGAGTCGGATGCCCATACTCGTGCAAAGATCGCAGCTGTGCTCGATGCAGACCTCGGCCTCATCTACTGCGTCGGCGAGACGCTGGAGCAGCGCGAGGGTGGCGATGCCTTTGGCCCCGTCGCGGCGCAGATGGCCGCTCTGTTTGACAACCCTGCCCTCGCTACCAAGCCCGAGCTCTGGGCCAACATTGTCGTCGCTTACGAGCCCGTCTGGGCCATTGGCACCGGCAAGGTTGCCTCGCCCGAACAGGCTCAGGAGATCCACACCCAGCTCCGCGCCGCCGTCGCTGCTGCCACCTCGCCCGACATCGCCGCCGCCGTCCGCATCATCTACGGCGGCTCGGTCAAGCTCGCCAACTGTGCCGAGCTCATCGCCATGCCCGACATCGACGGTTTCCTCATCGGAGGCGCCTCGCTCAAGCCCGAGTTTGTCGACATCATCAAGACAGCCGCCGCCGCTGGCGCCTCCGCGTAGCCGCTCGCCTTCTTGTTGTTTCAGTACACCATCACCATCGCATACGCTCCTCAACATACCAGATGACATGTTGCATTGCTCTCCGACCGACAGCCTGTCGTCGGCTCACTCCTCTCACCCATCTTACTCGCTTGCTCCACCCACGTTCACCCCCGTGGCCTTCCCTGTCAACTACCGCCGGTGGCAGCAACAGTTCGCGCGACCTGCCCATCCATGCCATCGATGCCGGGGAGTTACATGCCAACATGTATGTGAATGTTGGTCTGTCCCTCTTGTCCGCCTCCCATGTGAGCCCTGAATAGGGGGAGGTCGCGCGCAATGTTCATCGAACCACCGCCAGGACACACCCAACCTTGGACGACCAGCTGGCACGGCATTGCCAACATCATCACCCCATTCCCTCTCCAGGCTCAGCAAGGTGCTTCATTATCATAGCAGTGCTGAGGACAAAGTTAGATTGCTGCTGGGGTGCTGCCAGCGACGTTGGCCGTACTGGCGGCGGCAGCAGCAGCAGCGACAGCGGCAGCAGTGGTAGCAGCAGCAGCATCGTCGGCCTTGGTGGTGGCGGCAGCCATTGATTGGCTGTTGCTCGGGGCGGCCACCTGACCGTGTGCGTTGTACAAGACCTGATTGGCAAGGTCAAGGGCTTGGCGCGCGTTCTGGACCTCGTAGGAGACCGGAGCAATGCCGGACGTACCGAGCGAGCCAGTCTGCGCCAACGACGGGTATGAGCCCGAGCCCGAGCCCGGGCCTGAGCCCGAGCCCGGACCCGAGCCCGAAGCTGAACCCGGGGTAAGCTTGCCGAACGAGCTGGAGTACACGTCGGTCATGGTTGGCGTGACGAGACCTTGATTAAAGACTTGCTGCTGCTGAAGTTGAGGAAGCTGCTGCAAGTGCGAGAGCGCCTGCTGGGAGTGCGACATCGTCTTGATCGACTGGACTTGTGCCGCCTGCTGCTGAGCCTGGACTGCCTGCTGGTGGGCATGGAACTGCTGCATGTATGCCAGTGACTGCATCTGTGGACTCATACCTGACGCTGTGTACGGCGACGACGGGTACGACCCCGGCACCATGCCCTGCATGATGCCCATCTGCTGGGCCAGGCGCATCTGTTGGGCCTGCATCTGCAACTGCTGGGCCTGTGCTTGGGCTTGCTGCTGAGCCGCAAAGAGGCGAGCCTGTTGCTGCATGGTCACCGGCGTTGTAGACCACTGCATGGCTGCGGCAGTGCCCGGCCAGGAGGCACCGCTAGCACCGGGCATGAGCGACACCTCGCCGCCTGCACCGATAGTCTGATAGATGGGCGCGGTGGTGCCGTAGCCGACATCGCCGTCTTGCGCCGTGGGCAGCATCAGCGAGCTGGCGCCGCCGGAGCCCCTGGCGCTTTGCCCGAAAAGGAACGATGCGGCCACCGGCTGTCCGCCGGTCCCGGTCATCATCGGAGCCGTTGCTGGCTCGGCCGGGCTTCTTGTCCGGCGCTGCGACTTGCGGCGTTGCGTCGAGGCGCGGTCGGAAATGGTGGAGTACCGACGGCGACACCGCTTGAAGTTGCGGTTGACAAGCAGCGGATGCCGGCGGCGGGCATTGATGAACCACTGCAGGACTTGATCAGGCTTGACGTCAGCGTCATGCGCCATCCTCAGCACGTCTTCCTCCTCAGGATACGGCTCGTCAAGGTGATCTTTGAGCCAGGTCTCGAACACAGCCTTGGCCTGCGGCGGAAAGAGGCGGCTCGACGCGCGGTTGCCGCCCCATCGACGACTCTTGGCAGCGGCTCCACCGCCTCGCTTGGTGGATGCACTACTGCGCTTGCGCTTGCCATTGCCTCCATCTTGCTTCTTTCCCTCGACATAGTCCGAGTCGGAACCCGAGTCCACCTCGGCCGTCTGCCGGGTGACAGCTGCCGAGCTTGACAGCTTAGACCGCTTGGCAGCGCGCGCTCGGTCGCCACCGCCATTTTCTGAGCCCGCCACCGAGTATGACTCATTGACGGGCGCCATGTCGCCGACGTGCTCCTCGGCATCTCCATGCAGTTGGGAGTGGTTATTGGTGCTGTTTGTGGTCTCCGTCTCGGTCGTCACCAGCATGCTGGAGCCAATTGGCCTGCCACCAGGGTTGGCGTCGGCCGACCCGGCGCCCGGGGCCGTCGTTGTTACTTTGGTTTCCGAGGTCGTCGAGGCCAACGCCTCGCCGCTCACCATGTTGAGAGCCGAGAGCGGGGCGTTGCTGCTTGCACTTGTTGGAGAAGAGGTGTGCGTGGGGGAGAGAGGTACCTGTTGCGGCGGCGCTTGCTCGTTGCCGGGTCCGCCCGCTGACCCGTTCGAGACAAACGTCATAAAGGCTTGGTCAGTCAATGCGGCGCTTCTCCCCACGTTGACCCGCAAGGTCAATAAACGGGACTCTTGTCAATTCTGTTTACGCCTTCCACGACGTGCGGAAAGAGCTCCTTGGTCTGACGTCGAGTAAGTGTGCCTATGGATGCTCTTGGGTCTCCCTAGTTTGGCTTTGGAGGAGGCCCTGAGCGTGTGCAGTTGCGTGTGCCCACCCGCGCTAGTTGGCCACTATCAAGGACCAATCAACACCAAGGTGAATAATTTTGGTCCTGTTGCGGCCAATTTACCTCCGAGCCGCATAGGTGATCTCCGCACCTTATGTGCCACAGTCTCTGTCACTCCCGCGCTGGTCTCGGAGCCGCAGCAAGCAGGCCGGGAAAGAAGAGCTCGGCCTCGGCAAGGACTGCGGCGTGCGCGTCTGCCCCATGAAAGGCATTGCGCGTGTCGCTGGTCGAATACAACCCGCGGAGCGTGCCAGGCAACGCGCATCGCGCTGAGTTCACCTTGGTCGGTCCGATCAGCGACCGCCACGCCTCGATGGCACTGACATCGATCGAGCCCGCTGCATGCTCGCCAGACGCCGGAACAGACTCGAGTACCATCGCCACCAGCGGGCCTGAACAGATTGAGGCGGTCAGTCGCGGTGCAAAGAACTTACCAGCGTGATCGGCGTAGAACGCATCAGCGAGCTGCGGATCAACCTCACGATGACTCAGCGCCACAATCCGCAGCGGAGAATCGGGAGCAGCCAGCGCACGTACAACCGCAGCAGCTCGCGGCGTCGCTGCTACCAGATCGGGCTTGAGCAAGCCAAAGGTGTGTGCAAAGTAGTTCGGCGCCACCCGAGGGACAACAGCAGGTATCACCTGCGCCAGAGACGTCAACATCGGCTTTCAGCACTCCAGACCCAGGCCTTACCAGCTGCCAGTCTCTCTTCTACCCCTCTGTGCGCACTTGCTTGCCAGCGAGAGTTGTGTTGACCGTGAACGCCTTGTCCATCTCGACGCTCGCACCGTGCCGAGTCTCCGTGTGACGGTCGCCGTCTGCCAGTTGGCTGTCACTCGGGCAATTACCGCATCCACAGAGCTTGGAAAGACTTCGTTGCGTCGAATCAGGCATTCGAGCCCGGCCCGTAAGCTTGATCAGAGACCAACATCGCAACGTAGGATACCCATTCCGCAACCTTTCTGCAAGCTCCAAGCTCACATTGGGGCCCACAACGGCGAAATGCTGCCGACTACGGCCCCCAAGTGCCAGGAAGTCAAAGGTCAGACGCGCAAACTACCTGTCAGTCTATTATTCTGTCTCCGCTAATACCAGCCGCACTGTCTGCCCTCCAATCAAGAACCCGTACCTCGTGTGGTATGCCATGTGAGCCTCATCTAAAGCCGATATTGGCCTCATAATCTATGCAGAAACGCTAGCGAGCGCTACCTCACACACCATCTCACGCAGTCAACTTGGACACACTGACGTGTGACTGCCAGGCAGCTACCATGTGCGGCCTTAAACACACTGGTTGATCATCGCCTTGATTGGGGACACCCTGTCAATTTCGGCGTGTCCGGTATCTCGCGAATCGAACATAATCGGCAAAAAGTTGCCTGCTCGGCCCTACTGCGGACCAAGCCGCTGGGGCAACTAAATCACAAGTCAGTTCTAGACCTCGTGACTCTGACGCGCACGTGATCCACGTGTCATCAGGCTCGCGCAACAAGGGCCGCCACCGCCGCCGCCGCCGCGAGGCCGGCGCAGACGTAAGCGAGGCCGGCAGGTGACGACGCGGCGAGAATGGCCGATGCCAGCGCTGGCGCGACCACGCCGAGCAGCGAGCCGAGGCCGTGACGCAAGCCGATGGCCGAGCCAACCAGTTCGGCCGGGACGACGTTGGAGATGAGCGCTGTTGTGACAGTGTAGAGCGTCGCGCTCGCCACTGTGAGCGGGACGAGAACAACCACAATGTCCGCGAGCGACGCTGCCGAGCCATAGCCTGCAAAGCCGAGGGCAAGGAGCGCGGCGGCGGCTATCGAGGTCTGGATCTCGGACATGACCGAGGTGAGAAGCGGGACAATGACGACGTTCACAACAAGCCCCAGCAGCGCGCCGTACGACATCGTCCATCCGAGCTCCTCCGATGAGAGGCCAAACGCGTCCTTGGCCATCATCGAGAACGTCGCCCGCTGCATCGAGAGTGCGAGGCCGACGGCAGCCACAAAGAGCATGACCGGCGCAAGCGCCGGTGAGACCATGAGCTTCAGCGACGCGCCCAATCCAGGACTGGCCGCGTCCTTATCCTCGGCTTCCTTTCTCCGCCCCTCGCCGCCCACCTTATCCGGCAACAGCTGATACGTCGCGGCAACAGTGGCAAACGAGACAGCAGCCGACATGCCGGCCACCGTGTGGAGCGAGACCACCCGCGTCAGCGAGCCGCCGAGCGCTGAGCCGGCCACCATCCCCAGGCCGTATGACAGCGAGAGCCGCCCGAGAGCCTGCGCCCGCGCCTCGGGTGTCGACAAAGTCGATACGCACGCCTGTGCTGCCATCATCGCGTGCATCGCTGCCGACGGCAGCTTGGACGCAAACAGCATCGGGAGCGAGTGAGTGAGGGCGAGTAGCCCATACGACACGCCGCCTGCAGCCAAAGAGATCGCCAGAATCGCCCGCGGCGACAACGAGTCCGCCATCGTACCCATGACCGGGCCGCCCAGTAGTTGTGCGCCCGAGAAAACCGACTGGAGGAGGCCAAACGTCGCCGCCGAAGCTCCGAGCTCCGACGAGATGAACGGGAGGACCGGCTGCTGCAGCCAGTAGGCAAAGGCATACATGGCAATGTTGACGTGGGTAGCGAGCAATCCCGGTACCGATGCTACCGATGCCGCACCCAGAAACGCCTGCATTTGTCGCATCATCGTCCCACGATTGTCAGTCTTCCCCATCGACGACTCGCGCCCGTGATCGGAGCTTCCGCCGCCCCACCCCGAATCGCTCCCAGCCTTGCTGTGCGTCCCACGCCCGCGTCGCCGGACCCCGTCAGCTGCGTTCCTGTTCATCCACAAGCAAATCCTTGTGTCTTGTCAGTCGAGTGAGTGTGCGTGGTCGGTGCTTGCGACTGGGCTCTCGGCTCTGGTCGCGTTCTGCCTGCCTGACATCATCGGTCACATGGCTGTCCTTTGGTCACTCCCTCGGATGGCGTCACCAGCCCAGAGTCATCCATAATCAAGTTCAAGCCATCACCATGGTGTGGTTACAGACACACACGCGCGCATACAAGTACCCACTATCTCCCTCTATACCCCCCCCCCCCCCTCCCGGGCGCCCCGATCATCCTCCACTCTGATCTCCTGCATCTGACCCTTGGTCCAGCCCCGCACCGCGGCGGCGACCATGGCCAAGCTCTCGGGTCCACGTGCAACACGCCACACTTCACCGCACGCAACACACGTTGACTCTTTGAGAGGAAGCACGTTGAGCTTGGGATGAACTGGGTCAAGTCGCTGGTGAACAAAGTTCGAGCACCTGGGGAGCATGCCCGTGGAGGGCCAGGTGGTCGTGGTGGCTCGAGTGGGAGTGACAGGGGCGCGGGCATGGAACAAGGCGGCGGGAGCGGAAGTGATGGGCAGGGGGGTGACCTTGGTGGGACGACAGCTTCTTCTCAGAGATATACTTCTTCGAGTTGGCCGGCTTCGCCTGCAGATCTTGCCGCTGTCTTTCCTACCACTTCCCCGGACTCGCCTCAGGCTCGAGCTGCTGCCCTCCTCGCCTCGTCTTCGGCTACCTTTGCTCAGGCTCTGGCTGATGCTGCTGGAGTGAGTGGCCCTGCGAGGTTTCTCTCACCGCAAGCTGCGCAACTGAGCAAGATCTCGCTGGAAAACCTCAACGCCCTCCTCATGCCGCTGTTGGAACTCTTTGCTGAGCTCTATCTCGACGCTCCGCGCCTCGACGGCGATCTCATCGATCAGCTCACCGTCACCCTCGCCCCGTTGCCGCTCTTTGTGGCTGCTGCTGCGTGCTCACTGCGGAGCTCGCTGGTGGCCGCCGGTCGAGCCGCGTCCTCGCGTGCAGCCGCCGCATCCGCCACTGCCGCCTTGCTCGTCGCCCGCGACGGCACGTCGTCGCACGGCCCGCTCTTGGTGAGCGTCCTCGAGTTTGTCCTCACCGCTCCGCTGACGCCACTTCCGCTCCTCGCCGACGCTGTTGCCCGCACTGCCCTTCCGACTGCGCTCGCCAAGGCGCTTGTCCTCGCGGTCGGGTGCGAGCAGAGGCTCGGGCCGCCGGCCCGGACTCTCGCCGCCCTCATCACGGCCTCACACGCCGCCGTCGAGGATCTCCTCGACTCAGACACCGTTTTTGTGCTCTGCAAGCTCCCGCCGCTCTCACCATCGCTCCTCCCGCCACTGGCTGCTGTCTTCTCGCCGGCCTTCCTCTCGCTCCCGGCTGCGGCGTCGTACATTGCCGACAAGGGCTGCTACCGGGTTGCCTTTTCGGCGCTTGTCGACGGCCTGGCCGACCTCTCACCGCAGCTGGTACTCGATACTCTGCTCGCGCTGCTGGCGCCGCTCTTTGAACCAGACCTCTCTCCGCCTGCCCGCCTGTCACTTCTCCGCGCCTTTGAGTGTGGGCCCGATGTCTACCTCATCAAGCTCCTCTCGTACATGGAGGCCACCGGCTCGCCGACCCAGCTTGATCAGCTTATTGGGACTATTGTCGACTTGCTCTACATCGAGAGTGGACAGGCAGCCCAGCAGAGTGTGGCTCCGACGCGCTCAGTCTCTGCGCCGGCCGACCGCGGCGCTGCAGACCTCATGCTCTCGCCCGGCTCGGCAACCAAGGTTGTAACCTACCCGCGCGCATTCACGGTCCTTGCAGCTTTTTCAACGATGCTGCCTCGCCGGACGTTCGCGTCGAGCTGCTGGACCTCATTCTCTCGATCTTTGCTGTCGATCCAGGGGCGTACGAAGCGTGCAACGGGCCGAATGTGCTCTCGTCGTTCCTCATCCCGCTCCCGTCGTACGCGCCTGTCGTCCAGAACAGGCTCATCAAGCTCGTCCAGTTTGTGGCGACGTCGATCAAGCCGCACCCGACACCGGAGCTCACCCGGCTTGCTCATCTCCTCGCCACCCTCGCGCTCGACGCCCCGGTAGTCGTGCTCATTACCGCCGTCTTCACTTCGCTCGTCTCGTTCGATTCGAGCTACCGCGACGAGGCCCGCGAGCTCGGCGTGGTTGATGCCCTCGTCGCGCTCCTTGATCCCGCCGCTCAGCCGTGGACTGCGCCCACCGCCGCCATCGACGCCGTCACCGGTACCCTCGCCTGCCTCCTTGAGTCCAACTACACCAACGTCCGCGCCGTCCGCGCTGCCTCGCTTCCAGCCACGCTCATGGACCTCCTTGTCCACGACTCGCTGCGGCCAGCAGCGCTCACGCTCCTTGTCCGCATTGTCGGTGCCGACAAGCGCCAGGAGCATGCAGACCTTGTCCACTACATCGAGCTTCTCCATGTCCACTCCAAGACCTCGCATGCCATGACTGTTGACATGCTCAACGCCATCACCCTCATGTTCCGCGCCAACCCGGGTGCCACCGCTACCTTTCGCGACCTCGGCGGCTTCGTCACCCTCGTCTCCATACTCGTCGCCCTCGAAGGAGTCTTTGCGCCAACCAAAGACACACCGTCGCCTACAGACGCGCCGGCTGTAGACGCCCATGCGCTCGTCCTCGCCGTCCTCCGCCTCCTCTACCATGCCGTCGTCTCACAAGAGCAGAACCTCGCCTTTGTCTCGGCCCACATTGGATTCAAGCCGCTCGGCCAGATCCTCCTCAACACCGGCTTCCTCGACTCGACTCTTGCCCCGTACTACGTGTACCTCCTTGTCGCCATGGCCATGCCGAGACTGACCTCGAGCGCCAGGCCGTCGCACCCCGTGCCGCTCCCGTTTGGTTCGGACGCGTGGGACGTTCTCCTCGCCCGTCTTCTCGCCGGCGACAGCATCGCCGGTCTTGCCGCTGACGCTCTCGTCCTCAACGCGCCGCCGCCACCCGGAGGCTACACGCTCCCGCTGGTGTTCTCGGCCAACACCCGGCTCGCGCACCCGGCCTTTGTCCTCCTCGCGCTCAATCTTGTCTTTCACGGTACCCACCTGGTCGATAGCCTGCTTCCGCACCTCTCGGCGCTGCTGGAGGCTCTCGCTGCTGCCGCCGTCCACAACGCCGCCTCGCTCGGATCGGCCTCGCTGCTCTCTGCACTGCTTGCGCACAGCGGTACCTGGCTCGAGTCCGAGCGGCTGCGGCCAGGCATCCTGCGCCTCATTCAGGCTGTAGGCCGGGTGGCGCTCGCTCCGTCGGAGCTCCGCGCGCTCCTCAATCTCTACACCGCCCACGGCGGCTCGGCTGCGGCCACGCTCGAGCTCACCAACACCCTTCTCCTCCTTGCCGAGCCATACGCCAACGACCCGCCGTTTGTCAACTTTGACTTGCGCCACAAGCCGGGCTTTGCCGGCCTCCACATGCCGTCACTCGGATCGCGGTCGTGGCCGCCGGCCACCGGCTACACCTTTGGCACCTGGCTCTACGTCGAGGCGCTTGACGCATCCCACCTCCTTCGCCTCCTCACCGTTTCCTCCGACGACAAGCGCTCGTACCTCGCGCTCTCGCTCCTCGGGACCACACCGCTGCTCTCGACTTCGGCCGCGGACACCGCCGCCGCAACTTTTGCTGGCGCGGTCATCAAGTCGCGCCGTTGGTACCACCTTGTGGTCACCCACTCGCGCTCCCGGCTTCACGCCTCGGTCGCATCGCTCTACATCGACGGCCTGCTTGCGGGCTCGCACCGCTGCCCCTACCCTGCCTCGGCCGCCTCGCAGGTCTCAGCTCTCATTGGCACCTCGCCGTCGATGCGCGGCTCCGCCGAAAGCGCTGCCTTTAAGCTTGGCGCGACGTACATGATCGAAGCCGTCGCCTCGCCACGTGACGTCCACCTCTGGTACTGTCTCGGCCCACAGTACTCGGGCACGTTTGATCCTTCGCTCGAACCATACCAGTCGTACGCTCCGTTCGACGGGCCGAACCTCGCCACCGCCACCGCCCTCGATGCGTCTGACTCGAGTTCGGCAGCGTCCGACCCGTCGTCGGCCGCGGCTGCTGCTGCCTCGGCTGTTGCCGCTCTTGCCTCGCTTGCCGCCGCCCGCCTCGCCGCCCCTGCCGCCGCGCTGGCGACTGCCATCGCCCCAGCAGGCGCCTCACCCGTCGATCCGTCACCTGCCGGTCGCAGCTTTGCCTTTTTCGAGTGGGCCAGCTACCTCAACTACGCCGCCGCGAGCTTTACCACCCTCACGGGGCCGAACATTGTCTTTGCTTTTTCTGCCAAGTCGTACTTGGACCTCTCGTCCAAGGTCACTACCCACGCCGGCGCCGACGCACTCGTCGCCTCGTCACACCTGCTCAATTTGGCTAGCCCGGCCGCCGCCGCGCCGCGCTCGCTCATCGCGCCGCGCTCGGCTGCCGCACTCGCGCTCGCCACGGAGCCGTTTGCGCCAAGCGGCACCGGTGGCGCAGGCCGAAGCTCGGGCCCGCCGGGCGCCGGCGACCCGCCTGCGCTCCAGGCCGGCACCCCGCTGTACTACGACCTCGAGCGCGCCGCCCTTGCGTCGGCGTCGGCTGTCTCGGGCGACGCGGCCTCGGGCTCCGTCGGCCGGCTGATGGGCCTCGCCGGCGCGTACACGCCCACCACGCTCGCCACCGCGCTGCAGTCGGTCGGCGGTGTGCCTGTTGTCCTCGAGCTGGTCGCCACGGCAACCACCCGCGACGAGCTGTTTGCCCGCGTCCAGCTCCTCTCGCAGCTCCTCGACGCTGCGCCGCAGAACCTGGCCCAAATGACCGCGCTCGCCGGCTACGAGATTCTCGCGCAGGTCATGGTGGACAAGGTGCGCGACAACCTTGTCGACCACGCCACCCTCAACGCGCTTGTTGCGCTAGTCGGCAAGGACATTGTCTCGCAGGACCACGGCCTCATAGCCTCGGTCGCCGCCTTTGACGCGCTCTTTGCCAATCCGTGCATGTGGGCGTCGGCGCCGGTTGCGCTCCAGGCGCTCCTCCTCTCACGGCTCTCGTACCTGGTCACCTTTTCGTCGCTTGCCGAGCTCAACCTCTCAGCCTTCCGCGCCTCGGGCGTCCTCATCCATGTCCTCGAGTTTATGCTTGCGCCCGAGACCGCAACGTCGCTGCTGGAGCCTGCGCGTGCGCTGCTGCGCGCGCTGCTCGCAGCCGACCCGCGCGAAGTCGACTTTTCCGAACTTGCCCACTACTTGGTTGCCACGCTCTCGGCCACGGTCGAGACCCAGGGCTGGGTGGGTGCGAGCGAGTCCGCGCGTCCACGCACTGACTCGGGTGGATCGCGCCCGCGCCGTCGCCGCCGGGCTCGCTCATTTGGTGCCGCCTCGGCCCGTGCCTTCCACGAGCACGTCCTAGACTCGCCAGGCATTGCTGCTGGCCTCCGCGTCGCGCCGGTGGTCGGCAACTCAGAAGACAAGGCCTCGCGTCTTGTTTCTATCCGCAACATGCTCCTCACCGACGTTCTCGATGCACTCGCTGGGCCAGCGCGTGGCTCGTCGCCGCAGGCCGCCTCTGTCGCCGCCGAGATCTTTGCCCGCCGCACCACCCGCCAGTGGGTCCTGTTCTTTCTCGAGCGCAACGTTCACAAGTCGACCGTCCTCCTCGCGCTACGCATCCTCGGCAGCCTGCTCTTGGGCGAGCACGCCTCGTCGTTTGCGCGGGAATTTCGCGCCTCTGACGGCTTTGCCGCCCTCGCGCACATGCTTCCGCACGCGGCCTCGTCGTTCACAGCCTATTTTCTGCTATTTGCCATTCTCCTCGGCCGCCTCGACCTTGTCGTCAATCCTCCGGAGGGACTTGATGGTTGCGCCACCGACGAGAATGGCATTTTTGCGTCCGGCGCCACGCCGCTCCAGCTGCTTGTCGACGCCTTTGGGGTCGAGGAGGCGACTGTCGTCCACGGCGACATCGTCCTTGTTCTTCTCGCCATGCTCAAGGCCCGCTGCGCCGCTGTGCTCGCCGCAGAGGCCTCGGGCGGCTCGGAATCACAGACACCTGCCGAAGCTGCCGCCTCGTCGTCGTCAGTCGAGGTCACCATGCTCAAGTTTATGACCTTCCTGTTCAAGGCCTCGCCCTCGTTCCGCACCTTGGCCTCCAAGGACGACGTCATCTGTCAGCTCACCGAAGTCCTCTTTCCGCGAGCACACATTGCGACGTCAGTCGTCGAGACCAGCCTCCTCACGCCTGTGCGTGAGGACTCGAGTCTGGATGAGGCCGTCGGCAGTTGCGACGGCGGGGATGACCACGACCACGACCGCGATGCGGGCTTTGTAGTCATTCAGCCAGTCGAGAACGCCGAGTCGAGCCCGAGCCGGCGGCCGGCGCTGCCTGTACGGCGCTCGTCGATCTCGCGGTCGCCATCGCCGACCTCGCCAAGTGTCTCGGTTGCGGTGCGACGGCAGGGTCTGGCAGCGCCGGGTTCCCCATCGCCGCGGTCGGTCTCGGACTCGGGCTTCCGGCTTCCGAGTACGCCGGTGACGCCGGCGTCGCCACAATCGGCGTCGCGGCGCAAGCTGCAGGACTTTTACGGCCTCTCGCCGTCGTCGTCCCCCAGTGCGAGTGCGGGTGCGGTCGAGAGCACAGTCGAGAGCTCAAGCAGCGGCGAGAGTCCGAGTTCGTCGGCACAGTCACAGCTTGTCACTCTCTTCCTGCACCCAGTCTCGATGCTCGTCTTTGACTTTCTGCGCACGCTTGTCCAAGAATCGTTCATCCACTCGAGCACCGGGCCAGAGCTGCTGGAGCGAGTCCTGGAGGCTGTGCCGCCGTATGTTGGTCGCGACCATCATGTACTCTTCCAGTCAAAGCTCCTCTCGGACCTGATGGATTATCTTGCGGCGTCGCTGACGGTCGACAAGCTTGTGGCGTCGCCGAACCTCGCGGCGGCGGCCGAGGCGTTCTACTCACTGCTGGTGGCCAAGGTCTACCGCAAGTCGTTCCCCGGTGGCTCGCGGCTTGTCTTTGACTTTCTTGTCACGCTCATCACCAAGCTTGGGGTCAGCGCGGCGCCAGCGAGTGCGGCGCTTGTGGCGCCGCTCACATCTGCGCTCTCGCTCATTGTCATCCATGACGTGTACTGCGCGGCGAACGGGGTCGGACGCGAGCCGCCGCTTGACGTCCTCAACCGACTTCTTCTCTACCAGCAGACAGTCTTTCTCCCGACAAACACGTCGAGCGAATTCTACGGCTGCCTCTGCTACTGGCTGTACCGGTTCCTCCTCCACGACGACTCGCACTTGCGGCTCTCAGCCATGAACCTGTGGAAGCTGCTCATTCTCACCCGGCGTGAGCACGTCGGCCCTTTTCTTGCCAGCTCGCCCGAGGCCGACGTCTACACCGGCGGCTTTGAGCGGCTTGTTCGCGACAAGGACTTTAACGGCTTTTCGTACTGGATGGCCGAGCACGACAGCGCAGTCAAGGCTGTGTTTGATGTGACGCTGGCGCCGGTGTGGGAGGCATTTGAGCGGATCCAGGTCCGCGGACAGGCCGCGGCACTGCGCAAGGCCAACGCGGCGCGGAGCGCGGCGCAAGAGGCACGGCTGCGGGTCAAGCAGGCCACGTTTGCGGCGATGAAAAAAGCCGACATGCGGCGGATGAACCGGGTCGTCGGCATCCAGCACGTGCAGGCGGTCCGCCGCCGCAAGCGGCGCCTCGCCATCGCCGATCGCACCAAGCAGGTCTCCATTCTTTGGCGCGAGACCCGCGCAGAGCTCTACCGCCAGCGCGGGCTGTGGGAGGATGCGCGCGCAACCGCACTGCTCAAATGGAAACTCGACCGGACAGAGGGCCCGCACCGCATCCGCCTCAAGATGACACCGAACCCAGACTTTTATGCCCGCTTCCCGTTTCTGGGCGAAGGGCAGAACTCGGGCGATGGTGGCAAGATCCCGACCTCGCGCGACTCGGCAGCGTGGGCCGAGCTCATGGACGCCGCCGAGCCGGCGGCTGTGGCGGTTCAGGCTGGTGCAGTCGGCGACGCCGCCGGGAGGGGCCTGGACGCTGTTGACGGTGCCGCCGACGCCGCCGATGCTCAGATCGCTCCCATCGTATTGCCTGTCACCAGAAGTGGCGAGTTTGCACCGTCGCACGTCGGGGGATCTGCCAATGGCAATGCGGCCGAGCGCGACGACGCGATTGGCGAGGAGAGCGGCGACGGCTCTGGCGACGACAACGATGATGAGGATGATGATGATGATGATGACACTGTGCTTGTCGGTCGCAACGAGGGCAAGTGGCTTGGTGGTGACGAGACGCTCTCGGAGGAGCGGACGGACCGTAAGATTCTCCGACTGCTTGAGCCTGGCGAGCGGATGCGGTACATGTACAACTGCGCGCGAATTGTGGGGCTCGACACGTGGCCGGCGCTGTTTCTGGTGTGTGAGAGCGCAGTGTATGTGATCGACTACTACATGGTGCTCCCTTCAGGCGACGTGGAGGATGTGTCTGGGGCGTCTGTGCACGAGGTCGATCCTGCGCTCGGCCCACTGGCGTTCTCGTCCGAGGCTGCGGAGAAGGAGGGCCACGCGGTGGTGTGGTGGAAGTACGAGGACATTGCGAATGTGCTCAAGCGGCGGTACTTGCTGCGTGACAACGCGCTGGAGCTGTTCTCGGTCGACGGGCGGAATGATCTGCTTATGTTTGACATTGCACAGCGCAACGAGGTTGTATCCAAGATCAAGGCCAAGTGCTCGTCGTCGTCTCGGTCGCCGCTCGAGGCGCTTGGTGGCCTGTTTTCGTCGTCTGCCGTCTCATGGTCGCTGCTATCCGAGACTGGGCGTCCGCTGCGCGGGAGCGAGGGCGGTGGTAGTTCGCGTCGTGGACTCAATAAGCTCTTTGCCTCGAGCAGCTCGTCGGTCAAGGCGCGGTGGGTGGAGGGCTCGATCTCGAACTTTGAGTACCTCATGCACCTCAACACGCTGGCGGGGCGGAGCTACAACGATCTCACGCAGTATCCGGTCTTTCCATGGATTCTCTCCGACTATGTCAGTGAGACGCTCGACTTATCGGACCCGTCGGTCTATCGCGATCTGAGCAAGCCGATGGGCGCAATCGGGGCGGAGCGGCGGGCGCAGTTTGAGGAGCGGTATGCCATGTGGGAGGACGACATGGCGCCACCGTTCCACTACGGCACGCACTACTCGTCGGCCGGCACGGTTCTGCACTACCTCATTCGAATGGAGCCGTTCACCTCGCATTTTCTCAAACTGCAGGGCGGTAAGTTTGACCACCCGGACCGGCTGTTTGCCTCGCTCCGTGAGTCATGGGAGTCGGCGTCGGCGCTCAACATGTCCGACGTCAAGGAGCTCATTCCCGAGTTCTTCTACCTCCCGGACTTTCTGGCGAACGTCAACAAGTTTGAGCTCGGGGTGCGGCAGGACGGGGTGGTCATTTCGGACGTGGAGCTCCCGCCTTGGGCGCACGGCTCTGCGCGCGAGTTTGTGCGGATCCACCGTGCGGCGCTCGAGTCGGACTACGTCTCTGCGCACCTGCACGAGTGGATCGATCTTGTTTTCGGCTACAAGCAGCGCGGAGAGGCGGCGCGCGACGCACTCAACGTCTTCTTCCACCTCACGTACGAAGGCGCAGTCGACATTGCGGCAATCGACGACCCGGTGATTAAGGCGGCGACGATTGCGCAGATCAACAACTTTGGGCAGACGCCGCGGCAGCTGTTCAAAAAGCCGCACCCTGCACGCAACATGGAGCGTGTCCGCGAGGCGAGTCTGCAGATGACGGTCTTTTCTGCGCCGCACGTCCTCCTGCCGTCGTCCGCACCTGTGCGGCAGCTCGACTCGCTCGTCGGCCTCCTCCGGGTTGTGAACGATACGCTGCAGGTTGCGCCTGCGCTACACACTCTCATCCTCCCGCACTGCAACAAGGTACTTGCCTGGGGCTTTCCCGATCACGCACTGGTGGAAAAGGCGGCTGAGAGCGGCAAGGTGCTGGGGCGAACCGAGGGCATGCATCATGGGCAGCTGACTGCCGTGCTGATGGACCCGACGGGCTCAACGCTCTACACCGGCGGCGACGACTGCTGCGTGGCGGTGTGGGCGTCGACCAAGCCGCGCAAGGCGCGCGAGTTTACGCTCATCAAGCGGCTGTCGGGCCACGAGGGCGCCGTGTCGTGCCTTGCACTCTCGCGCTCGTTCTCCATCTTTGTCTCGGGCTCGATGGATGGTACGGCGATTGTATGGGACCTCAATCGGCGGGTGTACGTGGAAGAGCTTGCCGGTCACGGGGCGCCGGTCCGACAGGTTGCCATCAATCACCTGTCGGGCGATATTGTGAGCATCACGCTGACGTCGGCCTTTGTGTGGTCGATCAACGGCGAGCTTCTGGTCCGGGCTGACATCGGCCTGCGGGCGTCCGAGGCGCTGCTCTCGGTTGCGCTCTCGATGGGCCCGGTGTGGCGGTCGGACAACGTGGTGGTGACCGGGCACGCCGACGGCTGCATCAACTTTTGGTCGGTGACCGGCTCCGAGCTTGAGCTCCGCCACTCGGCGTCGGTGCCTGCGCCGGCCGACGTGGGCGAAGCCGAGAGGCTCGCGCGCCTGTGGCGGTCGGTCCACGACACGCAAGGCGTGCTGACCACGCTGGGATCGGTGGCGCCCGACGCCGTCGGGGTCACCGCACTCGCGCTCGCGCCCGACGACCGCAAGCTCTACTCGGGCGACGTCCTCGGCCGGGTGTTCTCGTGGTCGCTCCCGGATGGCGGCTCGTCCGACTACTGGGTCAAGGACGAGTCGGTCAAGGCCTGCACGGCGTGCGCGCTGACCTTTACCCTCCTTGAGCGGCGCCATCACTGTCGCCAGTGCGGGCGCATCTTTTGCTCGGCCTGCTCATCGAACAAGGTTCCTCTGCAGGGCAAGCGTGGCAAGCTCGGGCGTGTGTGCGACGGTTGCCATGCGGCAGGCGCGTGGTCGAGTCCGGCCGCAAGTGCCAGTGAGTGAGTAAAGACTGTGTGTGTGTGCGTGCATGTGTGCGCGTATGTGTGTGTGTATGCTCAAAGCTAGTAGCGGCGACGGGGCCCAACTCTAGGAGCGGCCGTCAACGTTCCAGACGTTACGGACGTAGTAGGCAACGGTGGCGCCCTGCGGCGGGCCGTGCCACATGGTGCAGAGCGCAACGAGGACCTCGCCGTAGGTCAGCGAGTTGACGTGGTCTGGCTCGAGCGAGACAGCAGCCAGCAGCTGGCGGCCAAAGTCCTCGTCCAGCACGGTGGTCTCGGCCTCTGCAGGAACAAAGCGGCGGGCGATGGAGAGAAAGGCAGCCCAGTCGACGACGGCCGGCTCGCCCTTGAACAGCTCGAGGGTGTCGACCAGGGCGCGGATGTTCTCCTCGCGAAGGACGGCCTGACCAGACTGGTCCCAGCCGGCCATAAAGACGGCAAACTCGGAAAAGTCGATCTCGCCGTTGTCGTCAGCATCGTATGCACGAAGATCAGCCTTGATCTGCGCCTTGTCTGCCGTCGGGACCAGCTTGGCCACGCCCGTAACCCACTCTTGGACATCGATGACGCCTATACCAGAACAAGGGGGAGGAGGAGGAGGATCAGTCACAGTCGCACCATTCAGCATGATTACAAGCCGCACAATACCTATCTCTCTCTCTCTCGCTACCTCGCTATCTCGCTACTTCGCTATCTCTCTCAATCTCTCGCTCCCTCACTCTCTCGCTCTCTTCTCCCCCATTGCCCCCCACATCTACCTCCACCACCACGCACACGACAATGCACACCTCGCCCGATCCAACCAATCACCTCCCTTCACACACCCCCACACACACACCTCTTCCCTCTTCCCCCTTCCCCCTTCATCCATTTCCCCTTTCCCCCCCCCCCCCCCCACTCCCCATACCCCCCCATACCCCCCCCCCTCCCCTGCAAGCCCTTGCCAACGGCAGCCGGCCGAAAAATGTCGCATTCCGGGAACAGGCGGTGATGGGTGGCGAGGGGATGGGGAAGGGGCTAACGGGAGGTACAAAGGGAAGATGGGAGTGAGAGAAGGGGTAGAGTAGGTAGGGGGGTGGGTAAGGACGTACCATCCTTGTTCACGTCGAGAATGGCCCAGGCATAGGCGGCAACGATCTCGTAAAAGTGGGGGAGGTTGACCGGCACCGGCGCGGCCTCGTCACCACCTCCAACAGCACCACCGTCAACAGGCTGACCGCCATCGGCAGCGTTGGAGCTAGAGCTAGAGCTAGAGCCAGAGTCAGAGCCCGAGTCAGAGCTCGAGTCAGAGGCGTCAATTGTAGCAGGCGCAGGCACAGTGTCGAGGAGCGCTCCCTCGGCAGCAGAGGCAGACGAGGAGGACGACATGAAGCAGTGGGCTTACGAGAGGTGTGGTAAACTCTCACGTGATAATCGTTGGTCGTCGAGAATCGTTGGTCGTCGAGAATCGATGAACCTCGACTATCCTCGCCCAATCCGTTCCGGGACACCATTCGAGTGGCCGTCGCCTGGGCAACAGCACCACCGACGACGGCAAAGGCATTGGCTTGGCTCTGCCATCGTGATGGGTGCGGATACAATCGCTACAGCAATAGCAACTGCGATAGCAAGTTACGATCGCCATCAATGGCCAAGGCTCAGAGGGCTGGCAACCGGTTGCGGACTGTCATAATCGTGACCATGACCATGATCATGATCATGATCATGATCTTGATCCCAATCTTGATCACAACGCAGCTTAGCCAAATAGTCTACATCATCGAGCTCGCTGCATGTGAAACGATCAGTTCAGCTGTGCTCGAACCGAGCCTCCATGCCGCTGAGAAGGACGCTGCCCGAGCTCACGAGCCGCCAAGCCGCCAAGCCGCCAAGCCGCCAAGCCGCCAAGCCGCCAAGCCGCCAAGCCGCCAAGCCGCCAAGCCGCCAAGCCGACCGACAGCCTCTGCGGCCTGTGGCATTGACTTAGGCGAGGACGTGGGCGGCACCCGTCTCATCCCAGAAGCCATGCCGTTCAACTTTAACAAGGGCGGAGGTGGCGGTGGCGGTTTCAACTTTAACAGTACGTTGTGGTGGAGGTTGGGGGAAGGGTGGAGGGGAGGGAGGGAGGGTGGCTGGGGAGGGGGGGGGGGGGGGGGGGGGGGTCGGCCTGTGTCGCATTGTGTCAGGGCGCCATCAACCCCTCCCAGCCATAGCACACACACACACACACACAGCACACACACACAGCACACACACAGCACACACACAGCACACACACAGCACACACATACTCACAAGAACCGTACATGGAGGTGATGTATAGAGGGGGGAGCAGGGAACAAGGCAGGTGGAGGAGGAGGCTTCAACTTTGGAAACAAGGGCGGCGGAGCAGGAGGCGCGGCAGGAGGTGGTGCGGCTGGAGGTGGCGGTGGCTTCAATCTCAACAAGAACAAGGCAGGTGGTGGTAGTGGTGGCGGTGGCTTCAACTTTGGAAACAAGTCCGGGGCCGGTGGGGCCAGTGGTGCAAAGGGCGGCTTCAACTTTGGTGGCAACAAGAGCAATGCAGCTGGTGCATCCAACGCGGGCCTCGCCGGTGTGGCCCTCGCCTATGATCCCATCAAGGCCGCCATGGACTCGATCCTCGCCGCCTTTTCGGCAGATGCAAGCAACCCGCACTGCCACTTTCAGTTTATGTTCTACAATGTCCTGCCCGAGGGCATGGTCCGCCCCATGCGCTCGTCGGGCTCGGGCGTGCTCGCGCAGCAGGCCGAGAAGAACAACCCGGATCCGTCGCGGTACGTCCCGGTGCCGGCCCGCGGCTTTGCCGACCTTGCCACTCGGTTGACAGCACAGAAGGACATGGCGAGCGCGCACGCCAAGGCACTCGACTCGATCGAGGCCGAGATCACCGCCATCCGCAGCCGTCACCGCGACACGCTCGAGAAGCTCAGGCTCTGCCGCGAGCAGCACGCCAAGCTCCGCCACGATGTTCTCTGCATCATGAAGCGCATCGAGGTCTGGCGCTCGCGTGGCAAGCCGATTACGCCCGAGGAGGAGCGCATCCGCTCCAAGCTCGAGTTCCTGCAGCGCGAGCTGTGCAAGCCGACCCAGTTCCGCGCCCGGCTCTCCGAGCTCGAGGCCCTCTTCCAGCTGCAGGAGAATGAGGACGCGCAGCCCGAAGAGTACAACGTTGTTGATGAGGACGGCATGCGCAAGATCTTCATGTTCCTCAAGGAGCAGTCGCGCGGCCTGGACCACCTCTCGCACATCCTCAAGAGGGACCTGCGCGACGTTGAGATCATCCGCCGCGGCCGGTTCCCGCAGCAATGAACACCACACACATATCCGCACACGTACGCTTTACGGTGAGGCGCCCGGCGGCGGAGGCGGCGACTCGTGCTGCGCAAGACGGACCTTGGGAAAGTAGTCGTACGCCAGGCCGCCAGAGCGCAGAAAGTTGACGACCGACGCGGTGTAGACGTCGGCGTACTTTTCGACCGTGGCGCAAAAGTGCGAGACGTGATCGCGGGCGCGCATAGTAGGGCCAAATGGTGCGGTGAAGAGGCCAGCAATGGCCTCCTCGGTCTCGCGATGCTCGCGGCGGAGCTGGCCAAGCGCGGCGACGTAGTGCTCGGCAGCAGCATCGGGCGAGGCCGAGTACATGGCGTCGGTCAGGGCCGAGATGGTCTTCTTGGTCTCGGCAAGCACGCCGCGGAGGCGCAGCGCCTGCTCCGAGTTGGTCACTGCAATCTCCGACTCGAGCTCGCGGATGATGGCTGCTGTCCGCCAAGAATGCTTGCGCGCCGGCGACACAAGATCCGACGGCAGGTTATCGCCGATGTACAGGATGCGGTCGGGCGAGGTAAAGCCGCCGAGCTTGTGGAAGGCGTCAACCGAGCCGTGGACGTAGACAGAGCCCGGCTCAAACGAGTCGACCGTCTTCCACGAGAGCTCGGGCGATCCGGTCGACGGCCGCCAGAGCTTGCGGAATGGGCGGGTCGAGTTGAAGAACGCCGGCTTGGCCGCCGTGCAGCTTACAATGTCAAAGTGCCGCCGCCACTCGTCGTCGTCGAGGATGTACCGCATGCCGGCGTCGACAAACGGGAACGGCGAGTTGGTCAGCAGAAAGCTCTTTTTGCCTGATGCCCGGATCTCAGCCAGCAGAGCGCCGAGCCGATCGTCGCGGACAAGGTACTTCTCCGGGTGCCGCATGATGGTCCGGTGCATGCCCGGGTCGGTCAGGCCCTGATGGACCGCCTCGACCGCCGTCCGCACGTCGGCAACCACGTACGACGGGTCGTATACCACGCTCCGCTCCGCAAACAAGTCCACAATGCCGGCCAGGAGCTCGATCTCAGGGAGGCAGAACAGGTCATGCATGACCTGGACGTGGTCGCGCATGTAGTTCTTGGGCAGGTGCCGCGACGTCGAGTACAGCTCGGCGACCTGCTGCCTGCTCAGCCGCCGAGTACCGGCAAAGACCGCCGAGTCGTCGACAAAGTTGAAGGCGTCGAGCTTGATGATCAGACCCTTGGCCTTGTCGAACGCCAGCCCGCGGATGGCCCAGTTGTGCGTGTACTCGGCGCTCCGCAGCGCCTCGGGATAGCCCATGACCTCCACAAGATGCTTTGTCGCCAGATGGAAGATGAGCGACTGCAGCTCCTCCGTATACACCGCAAGCGTCATGTCGTAGTCGAACCCGATGACGTCAATCGAGTCCGAGAGCCTCAGCTCGCGATTGCAGAACACGCCCGCCGGATCCGGCAGCACTCCGCCGTCCGCTCCGCCGTCCAGCCCTGCACTCTGCCACTTTTGCAGTCGCAGAGAGTGATCTGCGAGAAGCGTGTCGAGCGCAGATGCTTCAGGTCGGCTCTTCGCTCCATCATCCGCAACTACGCTGCTCGCCATTCGCCCTCTGCTTGCCCCGTCGCCGCGCATCCATCGACGCACCGACGTGCGCCGCGCCGACGACGCCACCGCCGCAGCCACCGCCGTCCGCAAGGAGAACATGCCCAGAACACGAGAGGAGAGAGGAATTGAGCTGCTCCAGGAGTTGAAGGGGAGGAGCGGGTTGCGCTGCTGGCTTGTGGCCGAGGAGTGTGCTCGGACCGGGCTTGGGCAGCCAGCCTCTGCTCAGCACGAGACTCCCTTGTAGGGGGGGGGGGGGGGCAAGGAGGAGTGGGGGGGATGGGGGGTGGGGGGTGGGGACGCACCAATTCGTTCTCAATGTTACATCTCCGTTGGCACCAGCCGCCGTGACACCGCCGCAACACGAGCCGATTCTCGATGAATCGCTTCGCGAAGGACAGGCGGGAGAATGAGAGAGAGCGTACGCGACAAGGCAGCACTTCGCGGAGGAGGAGATAGGCAGGCAGATATGCTTGGGCGATGTGGGAAGACACGAGCGATGCGTGCAGTGCTTGACGGAGTTGGACAGGGTATGAAGATGAGAAGTGGAGGAAGGATGGCTCGGAAGGCGGCTTACCCGTCCCATGCTCCAACTATGCCCTCCATGCCTGTCCTCTCGGTGAGGCAGACGTTCGCCACAGCCGCCCGCCATCCCACCACCGCCACCACCGCCACTACGAGTGTCACCACAGCCACGACGGCCACCACCGCTACCGCAACCACTCGGCAGGCGATGGGCAAGGTCGCCGGCAAGGCTTCGGGTGCCATGCTCGGCGCATCCAAGCTCGGCGTCGCCCCGCAGCTGGTCGTCCCCACGTCGTCGTCGGCTACCTTTGCCACGGCGGCGAGGAGGGCTGGGTCGGCCGGTGCGGCTCGCTCGGTGGCCGATGCTTGTCGCCAAGGGGCGATGGCGGCTGGCGCAACGGGTGCTGTGGCAGCGGCTCACGCCATGGGGTCGGCTGCGGAGGCCGGATCCTGGGCTGGCAGCTCGAGCAAGTGGCGCCAGTGGTCGGCTGGGCAGGGTCGGCCGAGGATGAGCCCGGGAGGCGCGCGATGGTTCTCGTCGTCGCCTGGCGTGGGCAAGGGAGAGGATCTGTACGCGGTGCTGGGGGTCGGGCGTGATGCGTCGGGCAAGGACATTAAGCGGGCGTATTACAAGCTGGCCAAGAAGTACCACCCGGATCGGTCCAAGGAACCCGATGCGTCCGACAAGTTTGCCGCCATCAATGAGGCCTACGAGATCCTCTCTGACGAGGACAAGCGCCGAAAGTATGATGCATACGGCAAGGATGGCGTCGACATGGATCTCGGCGGCATGGGCGGTATGGGCGGCATGGGCGGAATGGGCGGTGAGGACGTCATGTCGGCCTTCCGTCGCATGTTTGAGGACGGTGGCATGGGCGGCATGGGCGGCATGGGCGGTATGGGTGGCATGGGTGGCGGAGGCGGCCGCGGCCTCGCCCGCCCGGGCGCAGACATCGAGATGCAACTGCGCCTCTCGTTCATGGAGGCGGCCAAGGGCACGACCAAAGACGTGGCGTTCTCTACCTCGGTCTCGTGCAAGACCTGCTCCGGGACCGGCGCCGGCGACGGCGCCAAGCCCGAGACCTGCAGTGCGTGCGGCGGTGCGGGCGCAACCGTCCAGCAGTCGGGCATGTTTGCCTTCCAGGCGGCGTGCCCCAAGTGCGATGGTGACGGCCAGGTGCTGAGCGATCCGTGCGGCTCTTGCTCGGGTCAGGGTGTGGTCCGTGGCGAGCAGGAGCTTGAGGTCAAAGTGCCACCGGGCGTCGATACTGGGCTCTCCATCCGCATTCCGAACAAGGGCGCCGCCGGCATCCGCGGCGGCCCGCCGGGCAACGTCTTCCTTCGGCTTGTTGTCGACGAGCACGAGTACTTTGAGCGCGACGGGTACAACGTCCATGTTGCCGCGCCCATCACCGTCGGCCAGGCCGTCATGGGCGGCTCAGTCCGGGTCCCGACTCTCGACGGCGACGTCGAGCTCACCGTCCAGCCGGGAACCCAGCCCGACGAGCGGCGCATTCTCCGCTCGCGCGGCATCGAGAAGCTCAACCGCGGCATCCGCGGCCACATGTACGTCCACTACAAGGTGGTGGTTCCCAAGCCCGAGGAGCTGACTGAGCGTCAGCGCGAGCTCATGAAGGAGTTTGTGGCTGAGGAGGAGAAGGTCATCGAGCCCAAGTCGTTCTTCTCGCGCGCGCTCGACAAGCTCGGTAAGGTCTTTTCGTCCAAGCCCCAGCGCCAGTCGTCGTCCGACGACGGCGCCCGTGCCGCGTAAAAGGAGAGACTGCAGGTGCAAGGAAGTGTGTGTATATAGGTGCGCTACGAGGGTGGCGGGGAGGAGGTGCCCGAGGTGCCCGAGGTGCCGGATGCGGCCGACGGCGGCGGGTCAAAGAGCTTGGACGAGCCACGGGCCATCCGGCGGCCGGAACGCTGCGGCGGCATGTCGATGAGGCCTGGGGCGGGCTTGGCCAGCAGCTTGGAGCCGGAGCCGCGCCGGGGCGGGTGTGGAGCTCGGTGAGCTCGGCCAGAGGATTGAACTCGCCGCCCATCATGCGGCCTGAGTGTGGGGTGGTGGCCGACGAGACCGACGAGGCGAGCGAGGAGAGCGAGGAGCCGACTTCAGAGAAGACGGTCGAGGCGGTACCAAACGGGGTGAGAGGCGTCCGGTGCGGCGAGGTCGAGAGCGCCGAGATCGGCGGCGTCAGACGCCCGTCGGGCGTCGGCGAGAGGACTGGCGAGACGAGCATCAACTTGGCCCGCTCTGCCGACGACGTGAGCTTAGCGGCTTCCGACAGCGGGACAAAGTGCCACATCTGGACGCCTGAGCCGAGCGACGACGCGGCAACCAGCTTGTCGTGCCCCAGCAGGCAGATCGAGTCGGGCGGGACGGCGGTCCGGAAGATGTGCAGGCACTCGCCCGACGTCAGCCGCCAGACTCGGACCGTGGCGTCCTGCGACGACGACACAATCTTGTACGAGTCAAGTGCGACAGCGAGGACCGGTCCTGAGTGCTCCGACAACACGGCGGTGTACTGCTCGCGCTGGACGTCCCATACCCGCAGCGTGGCGTCGTTCGAGCCCGATACCAGCGCGCCTAGCTCGGGCTCGTACGCCAGTGCGGTCACCTTGCCCACGTGCCCAGACAGCGACGCGAGGCACACGCCCGACTTGAGCTGCCAGACCCGGATGACGTTGTCGGTACCCGACGAGATGACCGTCGTGGCAGAGACCTGCAGCGCGAGGACCGAGCCACGCGACGCGTCGGCCTCGCCCAGCTCGTTGCTGCCGAGTGTCTTGACCACCACCCCGTCAGCAAGCGACCAGACAACAAGGTGCCCGTCGTGTGAGCCGGCGACCGCAAGCGTGCCTGACGGATCGAGCTCGAGCGCGAGCACCGGATACGGTGACCGCATCGAGGTGACGAGCTCGGCAGTGACCAGATCCCACACCCGCAGGACGCCAAAGTCTGAGCCGGTCACAACCAGCCCGCTCCGGCACGACATGGCGAGGACCCGATCCGACGCTGCGGGCATGCGCCCGAGCGTGTGGACGACGGTGCCCGAGGCGTCCCACGCCACAGCGAGGCCCGATGAACAGGCCGCCACCACCACGTCGCCGTCGCCGACCACGGCCGCAACTCCGCCTGATGCCGGGCCAATGCCGTCGAGCTGCAGAATGGCCGGTGCAAGGCCCATCCAGAGATCACTCTCGGGATCCTCGGGGCGCGCCCGCTGCGGAACGGGCATCCGCAGCTGCCGCCCGCCACGGCCAAAGATGGTCGATTGGCGGACCGAGGCCAGACCGGGGCTCGCGTCGTCGCTCGGCGTCGGCGTAAAGTTGCCGTGTGCCATCATGGCGCCTTCGCTGCCGGCCGTCGGCGACGGCACTCCCGACCCAAACCCGCGCTCCTGCGCCGACGATTGGACCTCCAGAAAGGCCTGGAGCGTAGCCTCGTCGACCGAGACCGACGACCGCGCAGAGTCAAATGAGGTCCGCGAGCCGCGCCGGTTGCGACTGCCGGCCATACTCGCACTGCCGGGCGCAACAAGCACGCCGTCGAGCGAAGGAAAGCTGTCACCGATGGCGGCCTCCTTCATCATCCGCCGCAAGTTCGCCGCGCCCCACGTCTCGTCGTCCACGCTTGCCACCGGATTGAGGGCGTCGAGCGAGTCGGACGACAGGCCCTTGGTCTCCAGCGCCTCTGTAAGGGCCGGCTTGGCCTGAGCCTGTGGTGGTGGAAGAGGTGAGGCGCCAGGCGAGGCGGCCGGAGATTCAGACGAGGAGGAGGATGACGACGTCGACGACGACGACGAGAGGAGCTCGCGGCCGAGTGGCCCTCTCTCGACGGCGGCGGCAGCAGCCTCGGCCGGTGATCCGGGCTCGTCGGTGAGGAACGGGTGGTCCAGCAGCTGCGAGGCCGAGAGGCGGTCGCTCGGGTTGCGGTTCATGCACTTGAGGACAAAGTCGCGGGCAGAGGCGACGAGCGAGTCCGGGACCGGGATGGGCGTTGAGTCCTTGGCGATGTGGAACAGAGCGGTGAGCGGGTTGAGTTCCGAGAACGGCGGTCGGCCGTCGGCCATCTCGATGACGGTGGCGCCGAGCGACCAGATGTCGGCTTTGAAGCCGTACCCGTTCTGGGCAATGACCTCGGGCGCCATCCAGTACGGCGTGCCGCGAAACGAGTGGCAGTCCTCCGAGATGGACTGGATTTCGGCGACCATGCGCGAAGCGCCAAAGTCGGCGACCTTGACAGTCCCGGTCTTGTCGACAAGGATGTTGGCACCCTTAATGTCGCGGTGCATGATCGAGTTGGTGTGGAGATAGTCGAGGCCGCGGAGGACTTGGCGGATGTACTTGCGGATGACGGCCGGCGAGAAAGGCCCAAACTTCTTGAGGAGGAGCGCGATTGAGCCGCCGGGCACATACTCCATCAGAATGTGGATGTACTCGTCGGTGAGGAGCGAGCCGAGGTACTGCACAATGTTGGGGTGGTGAAGGCCCTTGAGCGTGGCGATCTCACGCTGCAGCTCATGGATCTCGGTCTCCTGGCCGGTGGTCTCGGCGAGCGAGACCTGCTTGATGGCGAGGAGCGAGCCGGTCTCGTTGTCCATACCGAGGTATACTTCGCCAAAGGCACCGCGGCCAAGCAGTTGGCCGCGCGAAAAGTTGATGACCCGCTCAGGGTCGTCGTCGCCGGGCTCGGCAGGGGCGTCGGCGTGGGGATTGGCAGTTGCGTCGCCGCCGCCGAGCCCGCCGAGCTGCGGCGACGAGGCGCCGAGCGGCGTGGCCGAGAGAGGGGTGAGGAAGACCTTGAGCGTCGTCGAGCCCGAGTCGGCCACAAACTCGACGGCCTCACGCAAGTCCTCATCGGACCGGATGGTGATGGTGTCGTCGTCGGCCGAGTACTGCATGAGGCAGGCGACGCCAAACATGGCCTCCATCTTGGCAGCGACGTCGTCAAAGGCCATCGAGGGCGTGACCGAGACGAGGCGCATCTCGTCGCCAAACTTGCACTTGAGCCGGATCTTGCCCAAAACGTTGGGAGTGCCCGGCGAGCCGTACGAGGCCGACGACCAGGCGGCAGAGCTTGCCGGCCCGGTCTCGAGCCGCGGGCGCGGCGGGATGGGCCGCGGCTCAGAAGCAACGCCGCCAAACGGCGGCGAGGCGCCAAAGCCCTTGGGCGTGGCGGGCGGCGAGCACGGAAAAGTGACATGGACGGTGGACTCCGAGTCGGAGGCTTCCGACTCGGAGGCGGTGACATGCGAGGTGGTGGCCGAGAGCCCGCGGTTGCCCGAAGAGGAGCGGAAGCGAGCGTGGGCGCGGCCGACCTGGTCGGCACGGGTGACGTGCGAGGCAACGAGGGCTCGGAGCGGAGAGACCCAGCAGTCGACGACAACGTCGGTGAACTTTTGGATGCCGCCAAAGAGGACGAGCTTGTCGCGGACGGTGGCGAGGGTGGCAAAGGTGCGGACAAGGACATCGGGCGAGTCACCAAGTGGGAGGGTGAGCGGAATGACCGACCAGTTCATGGTCGCCACATCGAGCGCATGCAGGTCGCCGAGCGGCGAGCGGTCGATGCCGCCAAAGACGAGCATGAGGTTGTTCCACACTGCAGCGGCGTGGGCGCGTCGGCGGCCCGGAGCATCGCCGGAAGTGGTTGCCAGTGACCAGGCCCCAGTCTCGATGTTGAGGACAAACATGTCCGAGAGCACGTGCTGGCCAGTATAACCGCCAAAGACATACATGAGCGAGCCGTACGCCACAGCAGAGTGGTAGTGCCGCCCGCGCGGAACGGTGCCCGACGGCTCCAGAAGCGTCCACTTGGCCGACGGAATGTGGAAGACGCAGACCTCGGAGAGAGCGTCAGTCACTGCCATGCCGCCAAAGACCACCATCGAGTTGGAGTGCATGACCGCGGTGTGGCCGTAGCGGCCAGGCGGCGGGTCGCGGACTCTCACCGGGAGCCAGACCTCCGACTCAAAGACAAAGGCATGGACGTCCGACAGCATCTTGCCGTCTTTGTCGACGCCGCCAAACACATACATCGCGCCGTTGTACGCCACTGCAGAGTGGGAGTGTCGCGGCAGCGGCGAAGTGCCCTTGACGGGCTTGACCTCGCGCCAGTGTCCGTCGGCGGTGGTGAACGTGGTCGGCTTGCTCCCGCTGAGCGCCGCTCCGGCCGACGACGACGCAACTGATGAGCCTGATGACGACGAGGCCGACGACGAACCGGACGACGACGTGCCGTAGGTGTACGAGTCGGACGACGACGAGCCATCGTCGCCCTTGGCGGCAGCCTTTGCTCTCACTTTGGCCTTGTTCGGCGACCTGGGCACTTTTTTCTTGATCGGCGACGACGACGAGGTGATGGCGGTTGCCGAAGGAGTGTTGCCAGCTATGTCCCGACCTTGGCCAAGTCCAGAGGAAGAAGCAGTAGCCCGCGACTGAGCCGAGTCGAGCTCACAGACGAACAGATCGCCAAGGGTTTGACCATCACGAGTGTAACCACCAAAGACATACAGCCTCGAACCGTAGACAACCGACGAGTGTGCATGTCGTGACCTAGGTGGGGCCCCTTCTATCGGCCCTCGTTGGAGGACCAGACCTGCGGGGGGTGAGGGGGGAGGGGTGAGGGGAGCATGGTGTGGGTGGGGGTGGGGGGGAGGGGGGGGAGGGGGTGGGGGAGGAAGAGGGCGCAAGGGCGTACCCACAGATGGAGATGACATGGCCGGTGCCGGGAAGTGCCGGGAGGGGCCGTGTGGGGGTGTGGGGGGAAGAGAGGAGTGGCTGAGGGAGGAGGGGAGCGGGTGCAGGGGGCGGAGTGGGGGGGGGGGGGCGGGGAGGGGTCGGAGTGGGAGGTTGCGTTGCAATGGTTCTGGTCAGAATCTCTTTGATTGACAAGGAAGCGATGGCGAGTGGTATGATGTGATTTCGATGCGATCTGGGATAGAGAGCATTATAGAGGGGTAGGAAAGAGGGGGGGACATGTGGTGGTCTGGTGGGAGGATGAGCGGGATGGGAGGGAGAGGGGGAGGGGGCGATGAGGTGTGAGAAGGGTTAAGTGTGGGCATCGGATGATAAAAACGAGATCATGTAAACTGGTGCTTGGCGATAGTGACTTCCCCCCTCTAAGTTGCGAAAAGGAAGTAAGTTGAGCGTGATCGAGATGTATGAGAGCGAAAGAGCTGTTGATATATGAGACGATGTTGTTCTCGTCGGTGCCGAACTTCTGCTGAGATCAGAAACAAGAGCAAGACACCTGCTGCGATTGTCCTCGACCACAGTCGCGAGAAATGGATGCAGCCAGCTCCAAAGCGATAACGGATACTTGCGGCAGTCTCAACCATCAAACATAGCCACTCTAAAAACATTACATCTCGTTCTCCGCCTTCTCGAGAAACAGCGAGCAGGCTGCGTGTGTCTTTGTGTGTATGTGTGTGTGGGGGGATCGGATGGGTTCATACCCCCCCCCCTCCCCCCCCCCCCCCCCGCTCCGACCACAAACATAACGTCCATCACCTGACTCTGTCACCACCGAACAAAATGTCGTCGTTCTTCAACAAGCTCTCGGCCAAGCTCTCCGAAGCCTCCAAGACCATCCAGCAGAAGATTCACCACCGTGCAGCCGGAGTACGTACACGCTACCATGAATCCACCACCTCTCTCTCTCTCTCCCACCTTCTCTCTCTCTCTTCCCCCTCCTCCTCCCCGTCTTCCCCTTGCTCTGCTGCCCCTTTGGCCGGTCGCGTTTGCTGCGGTGGTTGCGGTGGCAACCGAAGAAATTCTTGCGAAGTCAAAGAACGTACATGTGACACGACAGGCTCAGCAAGGCGACCAAGCAGCCACATCTTGCTCGCTCTGCTCTACCTGAGCCGTGGATGATGTCCTCTCGCCCTCTCTGCAAGAAACAGGGGCATATACCCAGTGGCGTGGCTCGTCTCCCGCTTCTTGGTGGTCAGGTCAGCGAGTGTGTCGCGGGTTGCAAGCTCTCTCTCTAACATACTCACATTGATCATCGACGTTGGGCGGAGGCAGCCGGTCGGCCAAGCTGACCTCGAAGACTCGAACGTGGCCAACATCGGGTCGGCGGAGGACCGCGCGGCGCGCAAGGCGGCGGCTGAGACCGAGCCGGCGTGGGAGGGCGCTGGTGCCGCGCCGGGTATCGAGATCTGGCGGATCGAGAAGTTTGAGGTGAAGAAGATCGACGCGGCTGACCACGGCAAGTTCTACGGCGGCGACTCGTACATCATCCTCCTCACCACCGAGAACGAGGACGGGACGCTCAAGTGGGACATCCACTTTTGGCTCGGCGCCGAGACCTCGGTCGACGAGATGGGGACTGCGGCGTACAAGACCGTCGAGCTTGACAACTTGCTCGACGACGCGGCGGTGCAGCACCGTGAGGTTCAGGACCACGAGTCGTCGTCGTTCCTCGCCGCCTTCAACCCGGCCATCCAGGTCCTCGCCGGCGGTATCGACTCGGGCTTCCGCCACGTCGAGCCCGAGTCGTACACCCCGCGCCTGCTGCATGTCAAGAAGGTCGGCAAGAACACCCGTGTCTCACAGGTTGCGCTCGAGGCCGCCTCCCTCAACCAGCACGACGTCTTTGTCCTCGACGCTGGCCTCACTCTCTACCAGTTTGAGGGCGAGATGGCCTCGGCCTTTGAGAAGCACAAGGCCGCTGAAGTTGTCGCAGCCATCCGCTCCGACCGCGACGGCCAGCCCGAGATGGGCGAGCCGCTCTCGCCCGAGTTCTGGGAGCTGCTTGGCGGCGAGGCCGAGATCTCAACTGAGGACCACGCCCCGTCCGACCCGGCCCCGGAGCCGTCGCTCTGGAAGCTCACCGACGACTCGGGCGAGCTCACCTTTGACAAGGTCGCCGACGCCCCGCTCAGCACCGACATGCTCGAGTCTGACGACGTCTTTATCCTCGACACCGGCATCGAGGTCTTCATCTGGATCGGCGAGGGCGCGTCCTACGGCGAGCGCTACAATGCCATGCCGCACGCCATGGAGTACCTCACCAACCAGAACCGCCCCTCCTACCTGCCCATCACCCGCCTTGTCCAGGGCGGCGAGACCCAGGCCTTCAACAAGTGCTTCGAGTAGACGCTGTCCCACGCAGCGCAGATCCCATCGGCTTGGTCTGGTTTGCGCCAGATCTCGCCCCCCCCCCCCTCCCCCCCCGCACACACATATCTTTTGTTCGGTAAACAGCAGAGATCGTTGCTCTCTCCGCCGCTCCTTTCCCCAACCCTATCCCCATCCCCACTATGGCGCCGCAGCACACCCGCCGATTCGCCGCTTGCCGCTGGCGGTTCTCCAACGTCGCCAACCCCGACATTGGCAAAGGCACTTTTCTCTCCCACATGTCAGACGCTGCCCCCACCGACGCCATTGCGGTGGCCCGCAGCGGCAACCTCAAGAGTACGCCCCCCCACACCTTCCTATCCACCAGTCATCTCTTCCACCTCTGCCAGAGCGGGCGGCAGCGGCGAGCTCGCCGCCGAGCCATGGCGTTGGCCAATCGGGTGTGTGATCGAACAGCCACCGATCAAAAGGGCGATCACGGCCGGGTGTCGAAGAAGGCCGTCAACTCACATTGCGGGTGCGGCTGGAGGGCTACAGACCTCATCGAGCTTGTCAAGGCAAGTGGTAAGAAGAGCGTGACAGAGGCTGTGGAGGAGGGGACTGGCAACACAGCTCTGCATGCGGCTGTCGAGTCGGGCAAGTCCAAGATGGTCACCGCTGTCCTCAAGCTCGGCCTGGACATCGACCAAGTCAACAACGACGGTAACACCGCGTTTCACCTCGCATGCGCAGCAGAGGCCTCTTCCATTGCTGCTGCCCTGCTCAAGGCCGGCGCTGACAAGTCGCTGAAGAACAACGACGGCAAGACCGCAACCGCCCTGCTCAAGGCTGCTCGGAAGAAGTCTACCGCCGCCGCCGGTGACACCGGCGCCGCTTCGGCGTCGGCTGCCAGTGCTGGTGGCGAGGGCGAGGGTGGAGCCGGTAGCGATGCCGGCAAGAAGAAGGTGGTCAAGAAGAAGGTGGTCAAGAAGAAGATGATCAAGAAAAAGGTGATCAAGAAGAAGGGGACCAAGAAAGTGATCAAGAAGAAGAAGGTTACCAAGAAGGCGAGCGCAAAGGCTGCCGCTGGCGAAGGAACCGATGCTGGTACCGATGCTGGCACCGATGCCGGTAACGATGCTGACAACGGCGGACCGGATGGGTCAGCCGACACTGTCGAGGCCGATACAGTCAAGGCAAAGGCCGAGCCCAAGGCAAAGGCCGAGCCCAAGGCCGAGGCCGAGCCCAAGGCCGAGGCCGAGCCCAAGGCCGAGGCCGAGCCCAGGGCCAAGACCACGACCTCCTCCACCAAGGCGACAGCCAAGCCGGCATCCGCGACCGCGACCGCCACCAGCTCGGCGTCTGCGTCTGCGTCTGCGTCGGCGTCGGCGTCGGCGTCAGCGTCGGCCCCAGTCACGATCACTTCCATGACTGGCATGGATGACGAGTCAGGCGCGGCCCATCTGGATCCTAAGCTGGCCAAAGCTGTGGCCGCACTCAAGACCTCGTTTACGCAGCGGGCAAGCATCCTGGAGGCTGCGCCACCGGCAGGGACCGGGGCGACGGCGATGATTATGAAGCCGCAGTGCAAATCGTCGTACTCGGTCGACTACGATCCGGCGACCGCCACGGTCGGCTCGCTGCTGGTCTCGCTCGCGGCGCAGCTGGACATTCCGTACCCCGAAGCGTTCCGGATTACGCTCGGCAAGTCGCCGGTCGACGCCAAGCCGCTCGATGACGCGACGCTGGTCTCGTCGCTGACGCTCGGCGGCGACGACGTGCTTGTGGTGCGGATGGCGCATGAGAAGCCGCTCTCGGACTACCTGCTTGCGACGTCCGAGTCGACGCTCTCACTGGCGTACCTTGCCGCGGTGGAGAATGTGTCGGCGGGACTGTGGGCGCTCCCGTCGCATGGCGTCGCATTCCGGCTGGCAGGCATCCGGGTTGTTGTCGGGTGCGGCTCGATTAAGAGCCGGCCAAAGGTCCAGTCGTTTGTCAAGTCGCTGCTGCGGACGGTTCTCCCGCCGGCACTCATTGCGGCCAAGCTCCCGGTAGGCTATCTTGTGACGCGGGTAGTCAACGTGGCGAGCGCGGTTGACGAGCTGTCCAAGTCGAAGCTCATGCGCATGTTCCTTTCCGTCTGCTACTCGCTTCCGCGCTACGGCATGTCGCGGCCTATCTCGGTGACGACCCAAGTCGATCCGCTGGTGACCGGCAAGATGGCGCTTACGCATGACGGCATCATGATTGTGATGAACGACGCGCTGCCGCCTCCGCGGTACGCCCAGTTCCTGCCATATGGCTCGATCACTGGCATGACGACCGGCGCGGATGGGCAGCTGACGCTCACCCTCCGGCGCCAGATCGCCGACGCGAGCGACGCTGAATCGGGCGGGCCGTCAGCCTCTAGCATCAGCGTCACGCTGCATCTTGTGGAGACGCCGAGCCTCCGCGACGAAGTTGTGTCTGAGATTGCGACCTGGATGGCGCTCAACATGCTGACGGAGAACCCGGGCCCGGCGTATGCGCTCACCTCGGCGCTGCCTGCCGTGGACGAGCCGCTGCCGCGGGCGTGGCTGGTGTACGAGCCGCCGTCATCGAGCCTCCCGGCATTTGGCGGCGGGTACCGGCGGATGCCGGACGCGCCGTTCCTGACGCGGCTCGAGGCGTTCCGGGCCTTCTTGCACAAGCGGCTGGAGCGGGCCGGGCTCGAGCCGTATCCGCCGCTGGAGGAGTGCATCAACGCAGCCGAGGACGCGGCGGCGCCACTGACGGCGTTCGACCTCACGGGATCGTCCGAGGTGGCGGCGTACCTCGAGCATGTCGGGCGCGCGCTTGTCGAGGCTCTCTCGTACACCCCGCCGTTCCCGCGAGTGTACTTTGCCGAGTCGCTGCGGGTCTCCAAGATTGATCTCTCGTCGGCTTCGCTCGGCGGCGAGAGCCGAAACCTCGATGCGGTCGCGCGTTTCTTCTCCGAGTTTGGCGGGCGTGACCTGGCCCATCTGCTCAACATCGAGGAGCTCTCGTTGGCGAACAACGGCATTTCCGGCGGTGAGTGGGGCAAGGTGGCGTCGGCGATGCGGCCGCTCACGCCGCTCTCGGTCCTCGACGTCTCGTACAACCCGATGGGTGCGGCGGGCATGGAGGATCTTGTCAAGTCAATCAACGACCGGTCGGGACACGTGACCAAGGAGTGGCGGGCGCACCATGTGGGGCTCTCGGACGCCGGCGCCGAGGCTGCAGCGCGGCGCGTCTTTGCCAACACAGCCATGGATACGCTCGACCTCTCGTACAACGACATGTCTGACCGCGGGACGACCGAGGTGCTGGAGGCGCTCGAACGCGGGCGCGGTGTGTCTGAGGTCAACCTCTCGGGCAACATCATCGGGTCGTCGGCGGCCAAGGTCCTGCTCAAGCTCGCAACCGAGCGATCGACGGTCCGCTCGTGGCTCCTTGACGAGTGCGACGTGCCGGCCAAGGTGGCGACGGCGCTGGCCGAGAGGGTGGCGACCGGACTGGTCAAGCTCTCGCTCAACGAGGCTAAGCTCGGCAAAAAGGCACTCGCGCCCTTGCTCGAGGGCGTCTCGCAGCGCAACTCGCTCTGCCACCTCGGCCTCGCCGGGAACAAGCTCGACGCGTCGTGGGCAACCGAGTTTGCGGGCGCGCTCGGCTCGTCGTCGCTCGGCAACCTCACGGCGCTCAACCTCGCCAACAACAAGCTCGGCTCTGACGGAGTCTCGGCCATCCTCGCCGCCGTCGGCTCCAACTCGACGCTCTTCTCGCTCAACCTCGCCGACAACAAGGCCGGCAAGGAGATTGCTGACGAACTCGCCAGCCACCTTGAGCGGAACATCTCGCTCAAGAAGCTCAATCTCTCGGGTGCCTCGTTTGGCGACGCCGGTGCCGAGGCTCTCTCTCACGCTCTGGCCCAGAACCGCGTCTTTCTCGAGATCCTTCGCCTTGACGAGTGCAAGATCGCCGACGTCGGCGCCATTGCCCTCTTTGACGCCCTCAAGACGAACACGCGCCTGCAAAAGCTCTGGCTCACCGGCAACAAGTTCAAGGGCACCAAGGAGCACAAGTCGACGCTGCTCGAGCTCGTCGAGACCACCGAGTCGCTCGACACCATCGACCTGCGCAACAACTCAAAGCTCGACAACTGGGGCAGCCAGGCCAAGTTGGCGGCCAAAAAGGCGTCCAAGGCGCTCGGCGGCCACTTTACATGCACCGTCCACGTCGGCGACCTGCCGTGAGGTTCTACTTTGCGTAAACTCGAAGCCCGACAGCTGGGGGGCAACCGCAGCTGCCGTCTACGTGTTCAGTGGCGGGAGAGTGACCCGCTTGGCTGTAGCAGGTGGAGCGTGTGGGGCCGGCTTGTGCCCGCCGGCTCCTGCGGCTCCGCGGCGCGAGAGCGAAATCGATGATCGTCTACGGGCGCGGAGGCCGGACGGCTGCTTGGCCATCCTTTCGCGGCGGGAGGCTAGGCTGGGAGGAGCCTGCTGCGCTCTCGCGCCCGGCCCGGTGCGCTCAGCAGCCGGGAGCGTGCCGCGGCGGGCGGCGCCGGGGCCGCGGGCCACCAGCTTTGCGTACTCTTCGCGCGAGTACTGGTTCTTCTTCTCGGTTCGTCTCCGTGGCCCGGCGCGGGTCCGCTCGCCGGTCTTGAGGACGACGCCCGGCGCGAGCTTGATGGCGTCTGTAGCGACGGGCGCGGTCTTGACCGACTCTTCAAACGAGGCTGTGGCCATGGCGTCCTCGACGGCAAAGAGCGGGTTGGGTGGCGGTGGCTCGCTCTCCTTCTTTCTCCGCTTGGGCCGCTTGGCCGAGCCCGCTGCCGCGCGCGGAGTGCGGCGGGCGGCGCCGTCGTCGAGGACCGGCAGCGGCGCGGCGGCGACGGCAAAGAGCGGCTGGATGGTGGCCGGCGGAAGAGCCTTGGCTTTGGGCCTGTTGAGCGGCACAATCTCACCGCGGTGGTCAAAGGTAAACTCTCGGCGGGCGTGGCGGAGGGTTTCGACCTTGCGGGCGCGGGCGAGGCGCTCAGCGTCTTCGGCGGCGCGGCGGTTGGTGAGCTCGGCGTCGCGCTCGGCTTGGCGGGCCTCGGCCTCCTTGCGGGCGCGGGCAGCCGGGTCGAGCGGCGGGGGGACATGCCGCGGCGGCGGGGCCGAGCCAAGCGCCGTCCGACGCGAGACGCGGGTGGCCGAGTCGGTGCCCGATGCGGCGGCGCGCTCAGCGGCGGCGGCCTGGCGGGCGGCCTGGGCGGCAAGTTCCTCCTGCCGTGCGCCCGCCACGGCGCGGGCCTTGCGGGCGCGCTCAGCCGAGCGCGGCGACGTCGGGCCCTCGACGTAGCGCAGCGCGCTCGGAGGTGCTTTGCTGGCGGTGAGCGGCGCCGACGGGGTGGCGAGTGCGCCACTGCTCCCGCCACCGCCGAGCGACGGGGTCTCCGGGCCGGCGCCCGAGGCGAGGGCTGTGAGGACGGCCTTTTTGGCGGCGGTGACCTTGCGGGTGGCGACTGAGGTCTCAAGAAGCGTGTCCCACGAGACAACCGGCAGGGCGCCACAGGCCCAGGCGTCGATGGGCGGCGGCGGCGGTTCGTCGTCGGGCATCCAGAGCGCAAGGGGATGGCGTGGGTTCTGCAGCGGGCCGGGCGGGAGGGCGTTGAGATCGCTAAGCTGCGGTTCGCCCTCGTCGCGGCGGACGTCAATGAGGTTGACGACTCGCGCCGCCTGCTCGGCAATGGACCGTGTGGCAAAGGGAATGATCTGAGCCGAGATGATCGAGTTGTAAACCGTGTCCAGTGCACGCGTCACAATGGTGTCGACGACCTCGCCGGCCACAATCTCGCCAGTCTCGGCTTCGTCAAGTTCGGCCCACTCGCGCGCGTGCAGATTACCCGGAAAGACTAGCGGCGTGCCGTCCGAGCCGAGCAGGACCTGCGCGAGGACGGCGTTGGCCTCTGCGTTGGCGGCGGCAGCCTCTGCCACCGCCGCCGCCGCCGCTGCCCCGCCACCACCACCACCAGTGCGCCCCGCAGCAAGAGCCGCACTCCCGCCGCCGAGCATAAATGTCACCGCGTGCGGGAGCTCACCCGGGAGCAGCGGCGGCGAGGCCATACGGACACCCGGGAGCGGCGAGGCGGCCATGCGCGAGGCTGCGTAAGCGAGAAACGACGCGTTGTACGCTCCCATCGCCGCCGCAGTCGCCGCCGCAGGCACCACACCCTCACCAGCCCCACCAGCCCCACCAGTCCCGACACCTGCTCCGCCATGGTGTGCCGCCTGCCCGCCGCCCCCACCGCCTCCTCCTCCTCCGCCGCCTCCGTCACCTCTGCCACCACCATGTCCAGCTCCTCCACCTCCCCGGTCGCCCCCCCGGTCGTCCGCCCGCTTGCCGTCGGGGGTCTGCGCTTGGTCCCGCGACTGCGCTTCCGTTGGGCCATTGAGTGCGGTGGGGTGTGGATGTGGGTGTGTGTGGGTGTGGGTGTGGGTGTGGGTGTGGGGGTGGCGGTTGGGGGGAGGGGAGGGGGCGGAACGAGTGATTCGTACATGGGGAAC